TGAGCAGTACTTTCCCTAAGTATCATTCAAGCAACACATCTAGAATCTAATCACTTGCTACCTCCTGGGCCCAAGCCACCATCATCTCTTGTATAGATTATTTGGTATAATCTACTCTCCCTGCCCACCTCCTTAAGTCTATGTGTATAGACTTAGCCCAGTGGCCAGGGTGATCCTTAAAAGAGCTCATGTTCCCCTTACATTCAAAACTTTGCACAGAGGGAAATACAAAGTCCTTAAAAAGAACTGCAAAAGTTGGGGCTGGAGAGATGGCTCAGTGGATAAGAGCTCTGGTGCTCTTGCAGAAGCCTGGGTTCAAATCCCAGCACCCACATGGCCGCTAACAACCATCCATAGCACCAGTTCCAGGGGATCCAATGCCTTCTTCTGACCTCTGTGGGCATTGCACAGCATTGATGTACTTAAACATATGTAGACAATACTGGGACAACTCAAAATAAAAATAATAAATAAAATATTTTTTTAAAAATCCATGTATCCATTCCCAATGTTGGGTATAGGAGTTTTAAAACACTTGACATACAAAACTCCAGGAAGTAAAGTTAAAGTTGCCCCTGTAATCTCTCCTATATAGTTACTGGTGTTTACCATTTATTATATGTTATTCAGGTTTTAATATATTTAGGCGTCACCCAAAGGACCCTTGTGTACCTGTTAAATTTTTTTCATTTTGAGTTGTCCCAGTGTGGATCACATAGCTTTGTGTCACCCTTTTCAATAACTGTTGAGATGCTTTGTGTAGTGGGCCCTCTCCTGCCAGATATGGTTTTTGGGGGGATTTCTTTCTGGTGCTAGCAGCATTGTGCCTTGTAAATGTACAGTTATATATGGTTGCCTAATTATTTCCTTAGAGTATAACTGTCTTTGAATTCTTCTTCTGTTGGATCTGTAAAGAATCTCTTAAGACATAAGTTTGTCTTATATTGTGAAGTGGGCTTGAACTACTGTTTTCCATCTTAGGTTTTCAGTGTGGGCTCGAGTTTAGGGTCTAAATACCTGCTCATCTGAACTGCAAGGTAAGTTATAAGCTTAGTCTTTCAGCTTGATTTCCAGAAGATTCTGGTTTTCAGGTTTATCTGGGAGATTAATTGAAGTTGAATGCGTTTGATTTATAGCAGTGAGACATATTTAGCTCATGGCCTTCTTTTTAGTATCTCATGTCCTCTTACCAGGGCAGCTAATAGATCAAGCAGGTAGATTGCTTCAAAAGGCTCTGACAGTGTCTGCCTCATAGTACTTTTCATGCTTGGGGAGCTTCCCTGGGTCATCTCCCAAGTGCCCACTGTGTGTAAACCTCTGTACCTCATCCTGGGGATACGAAAATGAAGGATACAGTTCTTAAGCCCAGGGACCTCACAGTAGACAGGTGCATGAATAAGATGGCTGTATTTCCAGGTAGCTAGTGCAATGTGATGAATTTATGAGCACAGGAGAAATAGCATCTTATCCCAGCTTAGGCATGAGGCTGGGGTTTAGTGAAGGCCTCTTGGCGGAAGGGCTAGTTGGGGCTCAGCTCTAAAGAAGCTTGAATTTTGCCATGAAACGGCTAAGGGGAGGTGGGGGAGGATGTTCCTGTGACAGCAGCTTGAGGAATAGAATGGGGGGTTCAAGCATGAAGAGGCTGAGAGTAGTAGGAGATTAGGTAAATGAGGCCATTCTACCAGGAGTGCTGTTTAGTTTAAAAACTGGTCAGTATCTGTAGATTAATGGGAAACTAGTGGAAGATCTGATTAGAGAGATACCACCTGGGGCAAGGGCAAGGAAGGATGTGTAGGGCTTCCCCTGCCTTCCCCTGCTCTTTTCCCCCCTTGGCCTTTCCCAGGGCTGAGTAGCTGGGGCTGCTGCTTTGGTCCCGACCTGCCTTATTGTTGACAGCCATGGGAGTGACTATCTTGCAGACAGAATCACTGGTGGGTCTTGTCCCTTCCACAGCAAGGCTTCTTGCCCTCCTTCCTCTGGCATGAGGCACTGCCTGTCCTTTCCATTGTGTGACAGGGATCTGGCTCCAGTCATCATCTTTCTTTGGGCGTCTGTGTGATTTATAAATGTGCATAAGTAGTCACTGTGTACTGCCTCAGATAATGGCATGAGCAGAAAGATGTCATGGCCCATGCCTTTACCAAACTTGCTGTTTAGGAGACAGACACAAAATTAAAAGACTCTGCTTCTTTCCAAATGTAACTCAGAAGTTATGTGCTCAGCAGAGGCAGCAATATTCTAATTATTTGCTTATCTTTTAACATCATTAGCTTCAAAAAAGACTGTAGTTTTCAACTACAACTTGTGTATGAATCCAGTAAAATGATTCAAATCATGCCCAAGTTTATTCTGATTGTTGAGAATATGGTATGACTGTATTTAATTACCATGCATAAATAATGATTTCTGTGGTTTCACCTCTTATAAGCTCTGACCTGGTTGGTTTTCAGAAAGGGAAGGGGAAGGAGGAGTCCTCATCTATTACCAACATCCTGCTTGCTTTCCTTGACAGCACTGTTTTGCCACTGGAGCTCTTACTCCATAGCATGACCATACCATATCATTCCTTCCCTGCAGTATCTAAACATAAAAGAGGACTGCAATGCCATGGCGTTCTGTGCTAAGATGAGGAGCTCCAAGAAGACTGAAGTGAAGCAAATGGTCCCTGAGCCTGGGGTGGAAGTGACCTTCTATCTGTTGGACAGGGAGCCACTCCGCTTGGGCAGTGGGGAGTATACTGCTGAGGAGCTGTGCATCAGGGCCGCGCAGGAATGCAGTGAGTATGGGCAGCAGGGCTTGGGAGGCTGCAGTGGCACAGTTCCCAGAGGCAGATTTGGAGTCTTTCCTCCCTTTAGTTGTGCTGAGAGTGAGCTGTGGGTTCTGCCTTGTTTCCTCGTCTTGGAGATTGATTTCTCATTGTAATGTGGCTTATTTCTCCTTTATCACTAATGAGCTAGTTATTTAATAGGAAGGAATGATCCTTGCCTTCCACGAGGCTCATTCTTTGGGTCTCACTTTGTGGTTCAGGCTGTTCTAGAACTCAGTATAGCTCAGGCTGATCTCAAACCCATAATTCTCTTGGCTTAGCTTTCTGAGTGAGTGCTGGGATTGTAGGCATGTACAATCACACCCAGATGAGGCTCACTTCTCATTCTGCTCACATCATGTGATTTGAATGACATCAGCACTAGTTGAGGTGCTGTGTAAAACACTTAGTGATTATTTGAGACTCCTGAAGTTTGGCGCATCCTCCTGGCTACCAGGGGCTATCCTCCCCAGGGGTGCAGGGGTTGGAGTGAGAAAAGCCAAGTGTTCCCTTGTCATTTCATATTATGGAAAGGAGAGAGAGACTCTTCACAGTTCTTTAAAAAGTTATTTATTATTTTTATTTTATGTGTATGAGTGTATTGCCTGCATTTATGTAAGTGTACCTGTGTCGTGCAATACCCATAGAGCTCAGAAGAAGGCCTCGTCCCCTGGAACTGAAGTTATTGAGTCCTATCTATAAAAATACATACATGTGCCAATGCCATGGTGAAATCCACTACTTTGTGTGCTAACCCAAAATTTAGAAAACAAAGAAGTGAGACTTGTTTACTTAAATTTAGCCTGTTGCCTTGCTAAGATGAGAAACCAAAGCACCTTACAAAATAAAGCTCCATTTGTTATCTTCTCAACATGGAGACATTGCAATATTTATTTACCTAACTTTAAGTGGAAAGTAAGCCTGTAAAACCATAGAAACAGTCACATCTCTGATTCACTTGGGCTGTGATTGTAAAACTTAATTTATTGAGGCTCATTGAAGAATACACTTAAAACTGGTAGATTTTATAGTTGTAAATTGTATGCTAAATAAAGCTGTTTGGAAAAGATCATAGTAACTCCTCTTGTGATGATGAAGTAACATGATGCTGGAGAGCCTGGTCTATGCTTTGCCTATGCCGTTAGCCCTCAGAGCAATATTGTGGGATGATGTAGACAGTTTAAGATCACTGACCTTGTTAGTGTTCTAGCTTGTCTGGAGGCCCTATTCTCTTCCCAGTACGTGCTTTTTTACCTAAAATGCTTTATATACTAGGTCACAGATACAAGGGAAGAGGCTTGTGCTACTGGAAAGAATATGGTGGGCCCCTGTATCACATGGGATAAAATGGGCTGAGTCCTGTAGAATGTGTGAAAGGAAAGTTGTAGTTTTATATTATTCTGACTAGACAGAAGCATGTCAGGGTCAGACAGCAGAGGTGGCTGTTCCTTAGCTCAGTCCATAGGAATGAATGGCATCCCTTTTGTAAGTGGTTTGGAAGAATAATGCAAATGTTTGTTAATTTGAAAAGTACATAAATACTGAATGATGTGGGGTTTTGTAACTCTCTGTTATTACTGTAAGATGGTATTGGGGGCAGTTTGTTTTCTTCTCTGTTTTTCACCTAAGTGTGGTAAAGTCTCTTCTTGTAATTTTTATTGCTTCATCTTCTCAGTAGCTCTGTCTTGGTTTGACTCTCAAGTCTGCATGTTACTGGCTACATCACCTTGAATGAGACTAAATTTCAGGCAGCCACAATTTATGTCTTTGTAAAATAGCAAAAATAATGCTTATCTCATTAAGTGTCAGAGAGATTAAAAGATAATAAAGGGCAAGCGAGATAGCATGACAGGTAAAGGTGCTTGTGGTACAAGCCTGGCAACTTGAGTTTGATCCCTGGGACCTATGTAAAGGTGGAAAGAGGGAACCAGTTCCACAAAGTTGTCCTCCGACTGCCACACTATGTGCCATGCAGTACACACAGCCACAAGTACAGACCATACACTCACACACAATATAATAAATAAAAGATAATAAATGTAATGTTAGTCTAATGCCTGGCATGTAACTCTTAGTAAAGGTTAGTAGTATTGTTGTTATTTAGCACTTGTATAAAACATATCTTTACTTTTCCTGTTTCCAGGCAGTTACAAGTAGGTGAAGTATTGGGATTAGATCCATGGTAGAATTGCAGACAATCCCACAATTACATATAGATGCTTCAATATTCTTCAAATACATATGTGCATTTTCAAATGTGGAAATGTATAAAGAAAGGCTAGGTTTCCATGCCAGCCTTCAAAGACAGTTTATAAACTTGGTGTATACCTGAAATGGTCCTGATAATGCATTTGCAAAAGCCTGGATTTTGTTCCCAAAAGCAGATGCTCTTTGAAGTGTTTTTATGCTTTCTTTTTTCACATGTATTTGTGTGTGTGTGTGTGTGTGTGTGTGTGTGTGTGTGTGTGTAGATCAGAGACAACTTGACAACTTGTGGAAGTCAGTTCTCTCCTTCCACTATGTGGGTCCCAATGATCACACTCAGGTCATCAGGCTGGGGGCAAGTGCCTTTACCCCCTCAGCCATCTGGCCAGCCCCAACTTTCCCTTTCTTGAGAGGCAAAAATTGAAGTGACAGACTTTGAGCTGCTGAGGCACCTGTAACTTCTCAACCCAGGTCCACACTGGGGAGATACTGTGAGAGCCAGGGCTGGCCTTGTCACTTCCACCTCTCACTTCAGGTGGCAGATTGGGGAAGCACTTTTTTTTTTTTTTTTTTTTGTCATTGAAGTTTACTGTTTCTTAGCTTGAAGACTAGCTAGAGCTAAAGATATGAATAACAACTAATCATTGTCATCCATCTCCCCTCATTCCACTGTTTGGAGTGCAGGTCTGTGCAGTCTCCTGATAAGCTCAAGTGAAAAGTTTCCTCATTTCCCTCTCCTACTATGTTGGTTATTAAAGGAGGTAGTGGTGTGGGAGGCACAGAACTACAGGGCCAGCTTTGTTAAGCATAGATCTTGTTGCTAGTTAGATGCTGATAAAGACATTTATGGTAACTATAATGAGTACTAAAGTGTATTTATTATTAATGATAATACATTTTAATCACTGACAAAATCACTTTATTATTTATTCTAATATGCATTTTGTGCAGTAGCCAGGAACTTCTTGGCATATTTAATGCATAATCACAGTGTTAGAAATTGTTTAAACATGTTTTTTAGGAAGCAGATTGAGAGTTTCCTGAACTCCAAAAATGTTTCTTGCGTTGGAATCTGTGAGCCTCTGAGGTAGCCTTTTTTATCTTTTAAAAGGATTTGATAAGACCTCTGTAATGAGAAATGTCATCAACTTTCATTTTTAAATGACTTTAATTTGATTTTCCAGGAGCTACAACTCATGCTCCTGGGAGAGCCATGGTTCTTAATTATTATGAGTAGAACTGCCTGAGTGGACATGGTTGAAAGTTGTATTTACCCTAAGAGGATGTGGGTAACCTAGATTCTTTCTGGGTGAGAGAATTTATTATTTTCACATAGGTTACACTTTGAAAACAGGTAGTCAAGTGCATCTGTCTATAACTTTCTGATGTGCTCTTTCCCCAGGTATTTCTCCTCTGTGCCACAATCTCTTTGCACTGTATGATGAGAGCACTAAGCTCTGGTATGCTCCGAACCGCATCATCACTGTGGACGACAAGCTGTCTCTCCGGCTCCACTACCGCATGAGGTATGGAGAGCACAGCTGGTGCCGGCCTGGTTTCCCCATGTTGCTGGGAACTGTGTTTGACGTGGGGCTCTGAGTCACTCAGCAAGACGTTCTATAATCATTTCTATAGTTTGTAACTTTAGTGTTTTCTTGGTATGAGTAGGGACTTCATCTGTATTAGAGTGTGATTTAGGGTGAATTTGATCATCTTCTGCCACATTTTATAATTACAATGCAAAGAGTATTTTGAATAACATTTGTGCCCTCCAGCAGTTTTTCACATGGTGAGGCATGGTTATAGGTTTAATATTATAGGTTGTGACCAGACTTTGAAATAGAAAATAGAGGAAAGAAAGAATGCATACTTGGTATTAGCATATATACTAAGAAAATTATATTTTAAAACTTTAAGATATATAATATAAATGTATGTACTAAGTCATGATATCAAATATATTTCTTACTAAAAGTTGCAGCTAAGAAGCACACAGCCTGAGGAGGTAACCTAGAAATTCTCAGTTAGTCTTGCGCCCAGGGAGCGGTGCTTTGATCCTCTCCCTGAGAACTTTTGGCTCTCATTGGCACTGTGCTTTGTGTATTGATAAGTACTTGCCTTCTTTCTCATTTTGCAAATTTTGGTAAATATCAGTGTCTCCCAAGGTCACAAAGTCTGGTAACAAGTTGGTACTTGATTGCTGCAGTTTCTTGACTCCGTAAGTGTATTTGTTAAGCAACTATTATAGAATTGAAAGCATTTAGGTAGCAGCGAAACATGGTTAATGTGGGTCTATCAGTGGAGCTTATAAGTAGGATAGTGCCTTTTTTAGAAAGGATCTTAGTTTATACATGTCTGATTAAATCAGTAGCTTAATTCAGATGGTAAAGGAAACACCCTCCTGAACCCTAGAGGTTCTCCACAGTATCTTACTTGCTACTTCCTATGTGATTTTGGTTGCATGAGACTATTCCAGAATGATGGGGCTGGCTTTTTCTTCAAGTACTTACCTAAGGTCTTACCTTGCAGGGAGAGGTGTGAGCCCTGTGAGATTTTTAGACCTTATTGGGGAGAATCTTTACCCCTCCCCTCCCAAGTATGCCTTCTGACTGTGCTTAGGTTTGCTTTTCTCAATGTAATCTTGTTTTCCATGACCTGCGGGTTGGCTGTGTGATCAGAATTGAGACATACACTTGGAGCTGGAAGTCCAGGGAAGGGCATACCATTAAGTTCTGAGTCGTTCCCTTTAGGCTTCCAAGCTTAGCTCAGAGTCCAGCACGGCAGCATTTGGCACTTAGAAGAGATATGAGATTACCTAGTTCAACTCTTCCATTTTTCTAGTGGGAAAATAGATATATTGAAAAGAGAGAGGAATTAGTAAAGTTATACTCCTAATAAACCATCTTGGTTTATTACAAGGTGTTTGTCTTTGTTGGCTGTAGAATGCCTTACCATTAAAAGCTGTTTTTGTCCATTTCCCATTGGTGTTAGCTGCCAGGAAGTACACAACTGCTTTATTTTGTCACCTTGACTTAGTACCTGACTTTGCTCTTCAACAGGATATTGCTTTGTTGCCACAGACTCTTTGAACTTGGAAAAAAAGATACCACCCTAAGCTAGAACATTTATTACAATATGCTGCAAAAAAATTTGAAGCCTATTAAACTAACTGCTAAAGATGCAATGTGAAAACAAGTGTCAGTGACTATTTTAGTAGCATCTCAGCTCTATTTTGAGACATATTCTTGTACTTTAACTGTGGTTTTCTGTTTTTAGATCATTATTTTGAAACTTACTATTTTATGATTTCTGTTCATTTAAGACAGTCATATTCTTTATTACTTCTTAGGAAAAAAATTTAAGTGAAATTCACTGATCATCAGTAGAATTCTGCAGAAATGTTTGAAATTTCATTAGGTCCAGTATCTGCATGCAAAATTAGAATGTGCAGTCATTGTTAATACAGCATCTCATAAACTTTCAAGGTCTGTTGTTCTCTCATGCCCTCCTTCCTATCATTCTGAAACGGAGCGTGGCCTGTGTTCACACAGCACTTAACTGTCATTCTGTTTTTACTATTGCCTTAGGAATTGATGTGTACTACATTCAGTAGCAATGTGGTAATTTGTTTTATTTTTATTTCAATGTAAATTGATAATTTTGATAATTTATAATTATATTAGGGCTGGGGTGATGGCCCAGTGAGTAAAGTGCTTGCCTTGTAAGCACGAGGACCTGGATTTGTATTCCCTAGCACCTACGTGAAAAACTGGGCATGATGGTGCATTCCTGTAATCCCAGGGCTGGGGAGATAAAAACAGGAGGATCCCTAGAGCTTGCTTGCCAACCATTCTAGCAGAATTGGTGAGCTCCAGGTTCAATCAGAGACCTTTTCTCAAGATATTAGGTGGAGAGTGACTGAAGGAGACAACCCCTGGCCTCTACATGTATACACACTCATGTACACATAACACATGCACACATATATACATATACACAGAAAACAAAAATAATGAAATGTCATTTTTTAAAATGTATTTATGGGGATATAAGATGATGTTATGACTTAAGAATACAGTGTGGAGGCGCTGGGGAGATGGCTCAGTGGATAAAGTGCTTGTGGCTATACAAGCGTGAGGATTGAAGTTTAGGTCTACAGAACCCACATGAATGCCCCTGGGCATAGAAGAGCCATTTGAGATTCTAGTGCTCAGCAAATAGAGATAGGATCCTCAGAACAAGCTTGCCAGCTAGGTTAGCCATATCTGCAAGATCCAGGTTCATCTTGAGAGAACTGCCTCAGTGAATGAGAAGGTGGAACTCAATGGAGGAAGACTCTGAGTTCAACCTCGGGCCTCATCATGCGCCCAGACACACACCATAACACACTGTAGGCAGACACATGCAAAAAAAGAATTCAGTGTAGAATAAAAACCAAATCAATTAACACATCTGGCACTTCAAATGCTTTATGTTGAGAAATTTGAAATTTACTATAAGCAATTTTGAAATGTGAAATACAGTCAGTGTCTATAATCACCATTCAATATATCTGAAATTCCCTCATTCCTGATACTTTGAACTCCTCACCATCTTGATAATTCATTTTAAAAAGACGTAGGATTTTCTAGTTTTATCAACAGTTAGGAAAGTGATTTTGGTAATCATGTTTTTTATTTTTTTTATTTTTTGAGGCAGGTTTCTTGTCAACTTGCCAAGGCTTGTAATCTTCCTGCCTCAAGCCTCCCAAATACTGGAATCGTAAGCACACGTCACCACACCTTCCTTACCAGTTCAAAAATGCTTGAGCCCAGAGGAATGTGGGAGAGATGGGTGTGGTTGGCTTGTTTCCGAGGGCACCTGCCTTCAGTGCTTCTCCCTCTCCAGCAAGCTTAGGAGACCCTCATGTTGTGCATTTTCCTTGTCATCGTCTTCCTCTACCCCTCAGCATAATTCACCTGGCCCATATGCCCTTCTGTCAGAGCCCTGTTTGAACCTTGTAGCTGGCCAGGTGATTCACTCATTAATTCCTGCTTATGGGAAGAGTGGATGGAGCCTGGCTGTGTTCTGTTCTTCCTGTGAAGAATACTGTAGGCCCTGGAGCCTGTATGAATGCCAGCCACTGCATTAGTGGGTCCTCCTGCTGTGACCAGAATCTGATCCCCTGTCACATACAGGCTGCTTCAGAGGCCTGATGAGGCTTATGCAGTAGTTTTCTCTGTGCGAGAAACATCGAGGCCCACGGTCAATCTCCCGGTTCCTTTCATAAATCACAGAAGATGGGCTGTGGGCAACCATCGAAAGCTACAAAATACTGATTGTCACTTTTTTTTTTTTTTTCCTGTCTTTTTGAGATGGGGTCTCTTTGTAGCCCCAGCTGTCCTGGAGCTCATTATGTAGACCAGGCTGGCCTCAAACTCACAAAGACCTGCCTGCCTCTGCCTCCCAAGTGCTGGGATTAAAGGTGTGCACCACCATGCCTGGCTTGATTGTCACTTTTAAAGTAACTTACTCATCCTTTTCCCTCCGTGTTGATTGCTGCTCCCTGAATATATTCATTGTTTGTTGTTTACCTCTTAGGCATGTATTTAGAAGCTGTTAACGTGCTAGGCTCTAGGGATTTGATGGTAATTGAGCCAGCTGTGGCCTCTGCTGCTATGGCGCTCATGCATTACCCACACTGTTATGAGACACAGCTGCTTTTTTCTGGCCATCTCAGTCCATCTTGCTTTTGGGGCGGCACCTTGCTTCCTGCTTGCTGCCTGTGGTCTAGAGCCATGTTATGTTCAACTTGTAGGCTGTATGTGTTCCATGATAGCTATTAATACAGCCCATTACTTTTGTAGACGAACAGTGTCATATGGCAATGTCAAAAAATTGCACTCTTGGTTCTAGACTCTAGCCTGGCATTTATTTATCCTGGACAAGTATTCCATTAAACATGGTGCCAAGGGCTCACAATATCATGTGAGGGGCCCATGAAAATGTTTGATTTTTTTTTTTAAATCACAGATAACTGAGGACTGGAGAGATGGTTCAGCGGATGGGAACACTGTTCTTGCAGAAGACCCAGGTTCAAATCCCAGCGCCCACGTGGCAGCTGGCAACTGTCCGTAACTCCAGTTCCAGGGGATTCAACGTGGGTGTACTTACCTACATGCGGGCAATACACGCATACACATCAAATGAGAAAAAAAAATATTTTTTTAAAAATCAAAAATAGCTGAATATAATCCAAGTTGTAAAATAGAACTTTTAATATGTTTTTGTAGAGGACCAGTATGTGGGGCCTGTGAAAGCAGTGCAATGCAGTTCTTTTTATGACATGTGGCCATTTCCTTTTGCTTTGCATTGTTCCTGGGCAGGGGACACCACAAGGCAGAGGCTGCCTGTGAGCCCTTTGTATCCCAGGGTGTATCACAAGACCTGTTCTGTCCTGGCTCTAGTGTTAGGTGTCTGAGTTTAGCAGCTCTTTTGGGTAGGGGTTATTTGTTGCTTCTTAGTGACTTGAGTGTTTTTCTGTCAATTTATGGCTATATTTGAGAGAGAGACCCAGGCAGAGCTGAGTCTATAGCCTGGAGGCAGCTGGACTAGAGTAACTTAGCCACTTCCCACATCCCAGAATAAATCCTGTTTGCCCAACAGGTGGCATAGGAAAGCAGTAGTGAGAGTCAGACTTAAGGCTTTGGTCACCTTGCCTCATTGAACTTTGGATCTTATCTGTGCAGTGGAAACAGTGAAGCCTACTTGGGGTTGTTGCTGTTAGGATTAGGTGGCATAAAGCTGTGCAGTGCTGTTCAGTTCCATCATGACCACAGCCAGTGTCTGTGTAGTTCTTTTTTGAAGCCAAGCTTATAAAATACATCACCAATTCAATAACAGCATCTGGGACCTGAGAAACACTACCATATCAGCATGCCTGATGTAGAGCAGAACTCCATTTCAGAAGTGTTAGAACCAGAAAGTTCTTGGGGTTGAGGCAGGACAACCAGGTAGGACTAGAGCTATGGGGCAGCAGCTAGTTATAGGTGGTAGGTCCTTTCCTACTTAGGGAAGTGTAGTAGGGTCAAGAAAGCTGTCTTGTGGTCACCAGGAAGTTACTTTATTGTCCTGTCTTAGAGGGAGTACTGACAGTACACTGTGACAGCACACTTGGAAGAGTGAGGGATGGAGATGAGGGTGCTGAGGCTTTTGAGGGCGGCAGGTGCAAGGCTTGGGTCTTTGTGTCTTCACTCTCCTCAGAGCAGCTCAGCCTCTAGCATCAACCAGTTTTGGTAAGTGCCTCTCCCAGGCCAGCATTCCAGGAACTCCTTTGACACATTTGTCATTATTTTGCTGTCTTTTAGGTTCTACTTCACCAACTGGCATGGAACCAACGACAATGAGCAATCTGTGTGGCGACATTCTCCAAAGAAACAGAAAAATGGCTATGAGAAGAAAAAGGTTCCAGATGCAACCCCACTCCTTGATGCCAGCTCACTGGAGTATCTGTTTGCGCAGGTGAGAAGCTTGGGCCAAGAAGCCTGTGGTTGGTGGGGCGAATGAGACCTTGTGGGTTCAGATTTTCTATGTAGCTAGCTGGACCTGGTGCTGGGGTTTCTTTATGGCCTGTTCTAGGAAGTTCTTACCCAGGTGTCTTGGGAAGGCAGTATGTTAGCCAGAGTGCCAGTGCTCACCTCTGGGGTTTTCCAGGCTGTACTACTTTTCCTTTCTGTCCCCCACTTTGCCACTTTGCTTGTCATCTGTAGTATCCTGTGTGCAGAGGTTACAGAGAGCTGTAGTTGAAGGAAGGTGTGGCAATTGGGCCAAGAGAAGTCAGTTACCTGAAATCACATTACAATGAAATAACTAGTATTTTGTTACTATGCTTCTTGAATTTGAAGTCTACACATTGTTAGTGAGTATTTAGCAATGTATTTAGCATTTAAAAATACCTCATTGCCCATGTTGTCTTCTAAACTGCTTCTTTATTTGTCCTGTTTTATTCATTCTCCTGTGCACTCTGCTATTCGTTAAGCATCACTCAGGTATTCATTAAAAATATTGATCTGAGGACTGGAGAGATGGTTCAGTGGTTAAGAGCACTGGCTGCCCTTGCAGAGTACCTGGGTTCAGTTTCCAGCACTCACATAATAGCTAACAACCATCCATAATTCTACTTCCAGGGGATCCAGTGCCCTCTTCTGACTTTTGTGGGCATTGCATGCATGTGGTAGACTTACACATACATGCAGGCAGAATACTCATACACATAAAATAAAAAATTAATAAAATGCTAAACTGGCTGGGCATGGGGATGCATGCCAGTAATCCAAGTGTTTGGAAGCCAAGGCAGAAGAATTACAGCAACTTTGAGGCCAGCCTGGTCTATATAGCATACATATTATACATATATTGAGTTCCAGGCCAGCCAGGGCTATACAGTAAGACTTCATCTCAAAGAAAAACTAAACAAAATTTGATCTATATTGTTTTAATGACTTTATATCAGTTCATTCATTTAACACATATTTACTGGATGTCTGTGTCCTGTTTTGCTTCATGTAATTGTATTTATTCAGATACTGGTGCTGAGGTAAATGAGACATACATGTTTTCTGTGTGCCTCAGTTGTATATTCAAGTTAGATAATAAGAAACAGCAAGTTTGTAAAATGATACTATGTAAGAAATGGTGAGAGCCAGGCTTGGTGGCTTGGCTCCTGCCTGTAATCCTAGCACTTGAAAGACTCAGGCAGGAGGATTGCATGAGGTACGTTTTGCGATAGAGAAGGTGGAGAGGTGTTGAATGAGAAGAGCTCATTAAAACAGTGTGATCAGAGGTAGTCTCTCTGGAAAGATGACATCTGTAATGAATTCAGAAATAAACAGGAGCCTGCAGTTCTCAGGGAGGAGGGATATATGCCCTCCATGTGGAGTTTCTCCGTGGCAGTTTGTTGGTAGACAGGTCAGCCCTTTTACTACAGCATTTTGTGCCCAGTGATTTATCATTATGATGGACAGCCATTATAGGATATTCCCAGAACCCCTGACCTACACTTACTAGATGCCAGCAATACAACTTTTTCCCTAGTTTTGACAACCAAAATGTCCTGAGACATTGCCCACTTTCCCCTCAGCCCCAGGGCTGAGGGAAATAACGTGGGAAGGCCCTGGAGCAGGTGGAGCCAAGAGGAGAGTAGTGTGTCTGAAGACGACCAAGAGCACAGTACTGTTAGGACTGGTGAGGCAGATGGGCTGCTGAAGGGTGAGGAAAAGCCACTTGTAGAGTTTGAGCTTATTCATTCTGTAAGTCAGTGGTGATGCTTGCCAAATGTGGGAGGTGGATTGTGCTGGGTCTTAAAGTAAGAGCACACGCCAGATGTATACACTGGCAAAAAGTGCACAGCTGCGAGTCCAAGAGAGTGGTCCAGGTGAGAGAGAATGCCATTTTGGCTTAGAGGAAAATGAATAGATGTCCCACTAATTTGGGAGGTAGAATTGATAACGCTTTGCTGATGGGTTGATAGGATTTGAGGACTCAAAGATGATTTCTAGGTTTTTGTTTTTGGAAAAATTGAATAGATAATGATAATGATAATGCCCTACACATCAAACATACAAGGGGGAGGGGGGAATGCTAGAAAGAGGCTATATTAAGGCCGGAGGAAAAACTACCATGTACTTACTTGGTTAACTTTCAGAGCATGATTGGACTTTCTTAAATTTACCCTATTGTGGTAGGCTTTTATGAGAAACCTCATAAATATGGGCTTTTGTTTGTGTCTATTATTTTCTTAGTGTGTACTTTCACAAATAAGTCTTTCTGTCACAGTTCTGTCCCACTGGACAGCTTTAGTTACCTTGTCCCCATTCTGTACTTGCCCCAAAACTGGCCTTAGAGACAATAGAAAAGTGAGACAGTGCACAGCTCTGGGGAGGTGACGCATGGAAAAAATAATCAGACTGATCTTTGTCTTTGTCTCAGTTTTATGTATATGAGATTCGTTCTCATCTTTCTTGGGAGCAGAAGTGTAAAGAAAACAAGGATGAAGGATGAAGTACTGCATTGAAATCTCACCTTCAGGAGACCTAGCATTGGATTATTTGCGTTAGCAGTATAGAGCATATTCACAGAAAGTCACAGGTTCTCCTTTATCCCAAGATCCCAGCTTCAGATTTAGTTCTGCCTTTCAAACATTGTTGGTATAGATCCTTGTTGGTTCTCGGAACTTAGTGGAAATGGCCATTGACTTTCTTCACCTGAAAGAAATGAGAAATTCTATTACGGACAGAAGGGGACCTGAGATCTGCAACTTGAGAACTCCCCTAGGTCCCCCCAAAACACTATCAAACTGAAGATTTGTCAGGGAAAGTGGGTATCCTGGTAGGAACCCTTCTTCCAGACTGCCCCCCAGCCCAGCTAGAGAGAGACTAAAAAACTCACATTCCTCAGAGGTGGGGAGTCAGCAGAGTCGGTGCACTGTGGCATGTTGAGGAAAAGTGCCCTGGAGTCAGGGACAGGTTTTGTCTCAGCCCACTGCTCTCTAAGCCCCCAGCCCCACAATACTCTCTTATTTGATCTTTTTGCAACTACCTAGTATTAGTGATTCCTGATTTCTTCTTTAGAATAAAGTCTCCATGAGGTCATAAATGTGGCTTCTTGATTGCCAAATCTCTAGTGTCTAGAATAATATCTTACCCATAATTAGTTTTTGATAACTGCCAATGAATGAATGAGCAGGTGAGGTTGCCATAGATTCTCATATAAATCTAACAGGGCTGTTGGGAAGACTAAGTGAAGTAATAGATGAAGGGATCATGCACACAGGCCGGGCAGGGCGCTTAGGAGTGAGTGAGTGGGAACCTGTGTTGACATCATTGCTTTGAGCAAGACAGGTGGTAAGCACAGGTTTTTAGTCTTTATTTTATTTTTTGTTGTTGTTTTATTTTGTTTTGAGGTTTTCCCTTTAGCTCTAGCTGGTGTGGCACTATTTAGAGAAGGCTGGCTTTGATTTCACACTGATCTACAGGCCTCTACCTCTCTAGTGCTAGGATTAAAGGCTTGTGCCATCACACCTAGCCTGTTTTTTTTTTTTTGTTGTTGTTGTTGTTGTTTTTTTTTTTTTTTTTTTTTTTTCATGGCTGTCATTAAACTCAGCAAGACCCGTAAAGTTCCTGTTGGTTTCTGGAATGCTATGTCCCTCCCCCGATCTGTGAGGAAATATATTTTGGTGACATTCTTTTCTGCTGGACATGTGAGTAGCAGATGTGGAACAAACTAACATGTGGTAATGATGCACTATGGAATGAGATTCTGAAAGGAAGGCAGGCCACATCCTGCCAACTCCATACACCCAGTCTTATGCTAGGCCGGCTAGTCCGTTTGGAATTAATGGGTGATCCCATGTCAGTCCAATGTCACTTGCCCTACTCTGATGCAGTTCTAGTGTAGTACACACTGCTTATAGCATCATTTATACAGTAAGCCCCATGAAGGGGCTTTGTGAATTTGTACACTTCACCAACACCTAGCCCAGTGCACAAATAAACACTTGTTATAGATGAATGAACAAATGAAGGTATGAGTGAACTAACGTAGGCAGACATCTTCTGAGCTGCTTCATGTCCAGCATTGGTGAAAAACAGCCTTGATGGAAATTCCTTTTTTTTGTTGTGTGGCATTTGGGGGCAGCACCACCCCATGAGGAAGCCCCCTCTCAAGATCAGAACCAGGTGGCTCCTGAAGCTTAGCTGCTCACTCATTCGTTTTTCTCTTCTCTGGCTACAGGGACAGTATGATTTAATCAAATGCCTGGCTCCCATTCGGGATCCCAGGACTGAGCAGGATGGACACGACATTGAGAACGAGTGTCTGGGGATGGCTGTGCTGGCTATCTCACACTATGCCATGATGAAGAAGATGCAGCTGCCAGAGCTGCCCAAAGACATCAGGTAAGCCTTCCTGCTGGCCCAGTGGTTTATGGGACAGCGTTACTGGTGTGTTGTGGTTTTTGTTTGTTTGTTATGAAGCAGGGTTTTCCTGTGTAGCAAAGTTTGGCCTTAAACTCTGATCTTGCCTCAGCCTCCCAAGTGCTGGGATGCCAGGTGTGTGCCCCCAGGCCTTGCTGTGCTGGGATGCCAGACATGTACCCCCAGGCCTGGCTGGGACAGTGTTACTCTTAAGTGCTTTCATGCATCTCACTTAACTGCTGCCAATGGTTTTGATTTTTGTTTTTGACATCTGCTCTCTGCATGATTCAAATCATAGAATATTTGTACAAGAGAGCACACTTAACATGGTGGCCTGATTTTTTTTTTTTTTTTTTTTTTAATGCTGATAATTCCAGCCATGTGTACTAGAGTAAAGTTTCTGGGCTGGGAATCCTAATCAGATCAGTGACTTGCATCCCTTCATGCCTCCCTTCATCCCCATGGTGACACTGCTGTCTGTGAGCAATTCTTACCTTAGTGCTGGTTTTATAGCGCTTCTAAGCTCTGTAAGTAGATGCCACTGTCTCTAGCGTGAGTTCCCAAGGAGTTCCAGGAAAGCACTAAGAACTAGTACTTCTGATGTGACGGATGGTCAGTTATTGATTACAGAAAATTACATTAAAATGTCACTTGAGATCACTATTCAGCCTCTATTATTTCAGCACATTTATGAACTCTAACAGCTTTTTTTCTTCCTCACCAATGGGCTATCATGTTTGCCATAAAAGATGATTTCATATTTGAGAGATTATTTGCTGGAAACTATGGCTCAGTGCTAGAGCTCTTGCCTGGTATGTGTGAACCCTTAGTTTAATCCCAAATACTACAGAAAGGGGGCTGACCCCTAGGTGTGCCCCTCGTATCGCTAATCTGGAGAGGGATTATTTGTGGCTGCACTTGTGACAGGTGACACACCAGGAGGCTGCTCCTCAGGAGCGTGGGGCTCATTAGATATTTGCTGAGTTGCTCCATTCTCTTTTTTTCTTCACTCTGGGTGCTTTATTTTTTTCATGATGTTTAAGTCAGGTTTAATTCTATTAAATTACTTTAAGGGAAAAAATTACACTGTTTTTTAAGGCTAAATCCCAAAGCTCACAATATTCTACTGCTGTGAAACCATTCCTCTTACGGGAATTGCCCTGCCTGGGTACTGTCCCAGACTTGGGACCACCTCCAACTTGCTTTTCCATAGTGGCCTTGCTTTTCTTTCAGGGTATGCACACTCTTCACACCAACTCTTGCTTGTTCATCATAGCCATGTATTGACACTCAGCTTCTTAGCAATGCCCTAGTTAGCCCTGGATGGGTAGCTAAACTGTGTTTACTAGTTGATCCACTTAATGATCTGAGATGCAGTCGTATATATTCAGCTTTGCATTTTTCTCATCTTTTATAAGAAATTGTATGATCTTTATAAAATAGTAGGCAGGTATCACAGAATGTCATCATCTTACAGGAGACAGTTCAAATGAATGATGCTTTCAGACCATTTCTAACTGTTGCTCAATCATCTTAGCCAACAGGGTCTCAGGTAGCCTAGGCTGGTCTCAGACTTACTATATAACCAAGGATGGCCTTGAACTCCTGATCCCCTTGCCTCTACCATCAGAGTGCTAGGATTACAGATATGTGCCACCACACCCAGCCTGATGCTGTGTTAGCAGTGTGTATGTATGATCTTATTTGCACAGAGCAGTGAGAAAATTTGGCAACACTTGTAAGGAATTCCTGCCTTAGTGACATCTGTGGAGCATGTGCCTTTCTGTCTGAAACCCCCCAGTGACTGACTTGATTTGTCCCCATCTCCTTATATGGGATTAGATCCTGTTTTCTCGTTTGGTAGCACATACAAGACAAAGATCATAGAAGCAAGTTTGTAAACATTTTTTGCTAAGCTGTATGTGAACAAAAAAAGATGCCTTTTTATTTTCTTTTAGCTACAAGCGGTATATTCCAGAAACATTGAATAAATCCATCAGACAGAGGAACCTTCTTACCAGGATGCGAATAAATAATGTTTTCAAAGATTTCCTGAAGGAATTTAACAACAAGACCATCTGTGACAGCAGTGTGTCCACGCATGACCTGAAGGTGAAATACCTCGCCACCTTGGAGACACTGACAAAGCATTATGGGGCTGAGATATTTGAGACTTCCATGTTACTGATTTCATCAGAGAATGAGATGAATTGGGGCAACTCAAGTGACAGTGGCAATGTTCTTTATGAAGTGATGGTGACTGGAAATCTTGGAATCCAGTGGCGGCAGAAACCAAACGTAAGTGGCTTCAGGTACCTGGTCAGAAAGAGGAACACATCCTGTGTCACCAGGGTTATATGACTGAGCCTTTGAGAATCATTTGTTTGCATTGTCATTATCACCCCTCTAGGCTAAGTTAACTCAGCTGGAGGCCATGTGTTAGTCATCTCTCACATCATACTGTGGCACAGTTGAGGCAAGAATTGAACTTAGGCCTCTGGCTTCACAAAAGAAATTGATTTTGCTTTATGAAGCTGTATTGAGGTATTTGTTTTATAATACTAGAAATTGAATCAAGGGCCTTGACCATGGTAGACAACCCTGCCCCTTTAAATTTTTTGCTGTTACAATGCTGGAATTGGATCCAGGGCCTCACACATGTTAGCAAGTGTTCTACACCAAGTGTATTGAGGTGTTTGTTGAATGGAATAATAGGGTGAGTAGTTTAATAGCACAAGCTTAAAACTAAGGAGGCCTGTTCAAATTCCAGCTCCAATCCTTATATGTGGGTCTTGGGAGAATTAGTCTGCCCATGTTGGGTGCATGTTATTCACCTGTCAAATTGAGGCACAATTGTCTCTTAGTATCTGGTGGAGAGATCTGTTCTAGGACCCTGTGCAGCCACCCAAATCTGTGGATGCTTGTCTCTTATAAAAAATGGTAGAGTATCGGGCTGGAGAGATAGCTCAGTGGTTAAAAACACTAGCTGTTCTTGCAGAAGACCTGCGTTCGAATCCCAGCACCCACATGGCAGCTAACAGCTGTCTGTAACTTTAGTTCCAGGGGATCCAACAGCCTTTTCTGTCCTCTGTGGGCATTGCATGACATGTGTACACTTACCTACATGAAGGCAATACACACATACACATAAAATAAGTAAAAATAATAAATAAAATATTTTTTAAATGTATAGTATTTATATATAACCTACATGCACCCTTCTGTATATGTTTGTCATCTCTATACTGCCTTACAATGCCTAATATGAAAATACCACATAAGCCAGGCATGGTGGCATAGGTCTTTAGTCCCAGCACTTGGGAGGCAGAGGCTGGTGGATCTCTGTGAGTTCAAGGCCAGCCTGGTCTACATAGTAAGTTCTAGAGGCCATCTGGGGCTACGGGGAGACCCTGTCTCAAAAAGACCAAAAAAAAAAAAAGAAAGAAAATACCACATAAATAGTTACACTGTTTAGGAGATATATCTTCATGTGGGTACAAATACAGCGTAACTTGCCTTTTTGATTTTTGGCTTGTTGAATCTGTGTATGAAGAATGGGTGGGTGTGCAGCCCATGAGTACAGTGGGCTGACTGGATTTCTTGTAGCTCATTCACGTGGTTGGTGAGAGAACTAAGTGGCATTTAGGCATAGAACCTGGCAGATAGAAAATGTCAAATGAATTGCTATAGTTGCCATAATCATAGCTATAAGTAATAACATTAAGTGTAAGATTCCTTTCTTCCCTGCTTTATTCTCATGCTAAAATAGCAAAACCAAGTCACCAAGGGCTTTCTACATAGTAGTTAATGTGTGGATGAAGAAGGACCTAATCTCATGAAGGTTAAAAGCTGACATTTTATGATTGGGGAAATGGTGGCTCAGAGATGACTCAAGCAGTTGTATAACTGACAGAAGCAGAAACTTAATGTGGAACTCTAGTCTCCGGAGCCTATGCTGGTCATTATATTTCTACTTGTGCAACTATGGGTTCTTGAGCATGTCCATTTTTTAAACACACTGATGTCATCTGTTGAAAATCCGCTACTTAAGTTGATGAGAAGAAAAACTCATGTTCTGCCTGTTTATGTTTGGGAAGATCTGCTCTCTGCCTGGGCTGATGCACACTGTCAGTCTGGAAGAAAAGAGAACCGTGGTTGGTGCATGCCACCTTACACCCACACCAGCGTGAACATGCACACTGTACATCATGGGAGGAATTTAGTCTGGGTGTATTAAATACTCTTGCCGAATTAAATCCCAAGATTCTCTAACAGCATCCATCCTTTGGTTCTCAGCCATTGCTCCCCCAGTTGCTCTAGGTTCGGCCATGCTGTTTCTCTTTCTTGGGTGTTGGCCCTGTGTAAGATTACTAGGAACACTGACCTTTTGCTAACAGAAAATGAGAAAGCTAACTTAATCCTGTCACTTTTGTTATCTTATCAGGTTGTTCCTGTTGAAAAGGAAAAAAATAAACTGAAGCGGAAAAAACTGGAATATAAACACAAGAAGGATGAGGAAAAAAACAAAGTCCGGGAAGAGTGGAACAATTTTTCATACTTCCCTGAAATTACTCACATTGTCATAAAGAAGTCTGTGGTCAGCATTAACAAACAGGACAACAAAAAAATGGCAAGTTTGCTCAAAAGTTGTTCAGTCTGGATGTGAAGGGGTGGGAGGAGAGAGACACTGCTGAAGAGAGCTGTGTGGTGCTCCTGAGTTCCAGAGGTCCTTTTCCAGATTAAAAATCCAGTGATGGGCTCCTTTAAGCCAAGAAGTCCATTGCCAAGCATCATCAGTGTCTGCTCTTACGTTACACTGACACGTTTGACCACCCTGCCTGGGTCTTGCAAATGTGAATTTGCCTTAGTGCTTGCTGCCCACCCAAAGACATTTCAGCAGCATCAATATTTAGTTCACAAAAATTAGTGGACATGAAGGCAGAGAAATTGAGTTACATCGGCCCTTTCTTTTTTGCACCATGTTGGTGTAGTGGGCAAGGTGGACAAGGACCTGCTCTGTGGTAGCCCCACTCTGGGTCTTATGCCTGACTTCTTCCCATTACTGCTACCAGTCCCATACCACCTAGTCTCAGCCTCCCTAGAGAGCCTCCATCTCTCTTGATTCTCTCTACACCGGGATCCACATTCCCCACCGCAGTCCACCTTCTCAGTCCATTGGCTAATGGGCAGCAGGGAGTGAGAAGCGGTCCTACAAAGACCAAGACCCCTACCTTGCTGCTCATGCACTGGAACCCCAGGGCAGCACTGGCTCCAACACTTAGCCTCTTTGCCCTGTAGTTTTGTTTCCTGGTCCCTCTGTCTGCTTGTCTAGGCCACAAATATGTATCTGTAGGTCTGTTCCTAATGTTCATCACTATAGGCCGAGGTCCCTCTCCAGTCTCTCCTACTGCTATCCATAAACAAATCTCTGATTTAAAAAAGAAAAGACAAAGATAGAGCTCCTGAGGACTCCCTAGGCAACCTCTCTGCTGAGTTGGGTGGGTCATCTGAGCTGAGCTGAGTGTGAAGCCACACTTGGCACTTCAGCTGACCATTGGGCAAGTGTCAGGCCACAGAACAGCCCCATTGGGGTGTCAGGCACACCCGGTGACTCGGGTGGCAGAAGGGGTGTCATCTCACTTTGTATTTTCTGGTTTCAGTTGAGAGTACAGCCTAGACAAGAAGGCAGGTTTGGCAGGGGAAATGGGAACTCTGCAGATAAACATGTTTGTGTTGTAGGAAGTCAGGACTGATAACATGAAAGAGGACAGGCTAGTGTGACAGGCATGCATGCGAAGTGAGGGGAGTCAGCACCAGCGAAGTACCTTGTCAGAACAGTAATGCACACTGCAGAGGGAGAGCCTGATGATACAGCTCAGAACACACCACCATTCTCTCACATCCAGAGCAACTTGTCTTTCTGATATGACCTTTTAGAAAGCAGTCTGACAACATGTGGTAAAAGCCTTGAAAAGATTTATATATCTCTTCATTTAGGATCCCAGGAAATCCCATCCTCCAGAAGCAGTGTGAGATAAGACAATGGCTTGTGAATAAGAACATTCATTTCAGCAATATTTACAGTGTCAAAATACTGAAAATAACCTAGATGTACAAATAGAAGAATGGGAAAGCAGATCTCAGTTCACCTGAGTAATAGAATACATGACCAAACTGCTAAATTAAAAAGAAAAAGATCTGAGAAGATACCTTTGTAAATGATGAAAAGCAGAATATAAACATTGACCTATAAACTGGCACTAATTTTCTTCACAGAGTTTTAGGAGCTAATAAGCATGCCTGTATCTGTAGAGCGAGCGTCCTGTGTTATAGCTACTTGTTTGTGTTGAGATTGTGAGTGACTTTCATTTTTCAGTCCAACTTCCTTTTTTTGAAACGACAAAACAGTAATTTTATCAGAAAAACATAGTTGAAAAAAAGTGAAGGAAGAAGTAAAGTCCAGAGTGATATTGGTAGAAAGATGAGGGAGAGGGAAAATAGTAAGCACCACTCATCAAGCATATTGTAGGTACCTGGTCCTGAGTTGTAGGCTGCCACAGCCTTGCCACAAGGATTCTGTGTTGTTTAGTTCTTAAAGAGCTGCAGATGTGGGGTATGGGCTCAGTTTCAGATGGGGATCCTGAGACTGCAGTACAGAGCAATGGGAACTTGAATCATGCCCCGTAGTGAGAATGTGGCAGGACTTGTCTGGGGCTGCCTGCTGCAGCCCACACTTTCTGCCTATGTTGTTTGGTTTCTAAGGCATTACCATCCACCAGGGACTCTGAGGGAATGAAGGAGAGGTTGGCATGTTGGTGGGCTGGCTCTTCAGTGTGACGGGAGGATGCTGACAGAGGAAGAGAAGCAGCAAATGTGGGTCATATTTTGAGAACCAGCTCTATCCTGTCCAAGCTGCCAGCCATGTCAGCTACCCAGTTAGTGCCCCCATCCTCAAGGTCAGAGTTCACCCTAGCCACTTAGGCCTGTGGTTCTGCAAAGCTTCAGTGCTGTGTAGGGAGACGAGCAAGGCAAGAGGTCCCTGTCCCCTGTAACTTCATTTCCTTTACAAACACCAGCCCTCAGTTTATACTAGGCAGTTTTTGGTCTGAGGATTTACAAATGTCTGCTGTTTCAATATTCATGTTAACTCTGGGTGGCCGTCATCCCCATTTTACAGAGGAGGAAATAAACACAGAGGTTAAGTAGCATGCCAGGAACACACAGGCAGGTGGCTAAACCATTTGAAATTGCCAGTAGTTGACCATTTTTGACTTAGGGAAATAGTACATACACCTCAGCCCAGTAGCAGGTAGAGATGCTCTGAACCCAGAGAGCCTAGCTGCAGAGCCTGTGACTCACTGCTCTGCCCTGCCTGAGAGAGCGTCCTTACTCCCTGTCCTTCCGCCCTTTGGTGCTTTGGCTGCTGGTCTTTGAGGAAAGCAGGATGAGTTGTCAAGTCCTGCTTTGATCCTCACTTCTCTCTGAATGAATCTCCATACCTCCCATTTCTGTTCAGCCTTCTGTTCTCAGAGAACTTATGTGGCCAGGTACAGACTGCTTAGCTAGCCCTGCTCCTCACCCTAGAACATCTGAGATTTGTTTTTCAGAAATATCTGCAGGTGGATGTCAGCCACACCTGAAAGGAGTCCCCTTCCTGAGATAACCATCCCATCTCTCATGGCCTCCCTGGTTCATAGCCTCAGGGTACCCTTCCTAGCCTGCCTTACCTCCTTCCTGACCACTTGCTAATATCCACTTGCCCCCTTTTCTCTCACTGGTCCTCTCTGTTCTCTGTTACCTCCAACCTGTCCTGTCTCTGGTGCTACAGAAAAAGCACTTCTCCAGTGCCCCTCTGCCCCTCTGCGAAGGCTCGGGTGCTTGTGCTTGTATATACTTTTGTGAGTAAAAACTCCAAATCCTAGATTTACATACGTTTCCTCATCAAGAGCTGGGCTTGGTTTCCCTACAGTTCCTCACAGATGGCAGTGTCTGCTCAGGGATTTGTGGTCAATACAAAAGCCCACTTGTCTTTTCCAGAAGGTTTTCCAAGCAATTCCTTCTTCCCCTCTGCTTCCCCGCTGCCTCTTCCAAACCTTCAGAGGTCCCTGATCTAGGAGTCTTATTGCTGTGTCTGGGGTCATTTGTGAATTAGAACTCAGGAGCTTCACCCTCTAGACCCTCTGACATGAGGTGAGGCATCCATGCCTGTGTCCTTTCTGTAGAACAGGAATATTGCCATGTGAATGGGTTGCTACCTTGTGCTGACTGAAGTGTTTACCCTCTGCTCCTCCTGCCTTCACGCTTGTGTATCTGCCACCGTGATTCATGCTCCTGCTTCTGTCTAGACCTGGGTGGCAGCTCCTCTGCAGGTCTTCTGGCTTGCCACAGCCCGCTATGCCTGCTTCCAATGCACTATGTCAGATGGTAGATGGGAGAGAGTGGGATGAGAGTCATATGTCAGTGAAGGAGGTAATTACCATCCGTGGGATGGTTTCCCTGAGGAATCATACATTTTACATTCTGTTTTACATATCTTCTTACTGTGTTCCCCACCTTGGAGTTAACTGTTTAGGATAGTAAATACGTGATGTAACTGTTGGAATGTCTTTTCTCTTACCAGGAACTGAAGCTTTCTTCTCATGAGGAGGCCTTGTCCTTTGTGTCCCTGGTAGATGGCTACTTCCGGCTCACAGCAGATGCCCACCATTACCTCTGCACAGATGTGGCTCCCCCACTAATTGTCCACAACATACAGAATGGCTGTCACGGTCCTATCTGGTTGGTTCCAGAGTGTACTCAATTACCTTTGTGGTGAAGAGAGCCCATGTTTTAGCAGTTCTAGCAGTAGGAAGTCTAGTCCCCTCAGCTCCAAGTGTGGCCAGTTGTTCAAGATGGCCATGCTGGCTAGCATTTTGGAGTTTCTCTTTCCCCACCCTGCTGATTCAGCTGCCAAGCCTTCCTGTGACTGCATACTTCAGGTCCTTACAGCATGCCTCCAACTCCTCCCTTACTCTAGTTCTGTTCCTCTTAGTTTAGCCCCTTCACTTCTCCATCCTTAAATCCCTGCCCTGTTCAACACTGGACACTTTAAGGAAGACAGGATACAGATCTGTAAATGTTGAGAAGTCTTTTTAGTGGCCTTCCATGTGACTTGCTCTCTTCCCCCTTCTCATCCTGATTGTCTGAGAGACAAGTAGTTTGGTGGTGGTGGTCCCTGGCCTAGGGAGGCTCACAGCCTTGGGAGACAGATTAAAGAGCAAGGAACAGAAAAGCATCTTCCTCCAGTGTCCTGAATGCAGTTGAGCCTCTAGGCCCTGGCACTTGGCTTTTCCCTAGACCTGGAATGCCCTTCCCTGAGGGTCTCCCCAGCTTCTCTTTCCTTGGGTGTCAGAAAACCATTGCCTTATCTATAAAGTCTTTTCTGATCACCTCAGGTAAAGTGACATCTCCTCCCCTCTCTGTCCCACCTCCCTGGCTACTTCATTCTACTTTGCTTTCCTATGTTGAGTTACATGTCTGTTTGTTTTCTGTCTGACTTCCCTTTCTTCCCAGCGTATGAACCTCCTGAAGGCAAGAGCCACTGTCTACATTGCATACTAGTATCCCAGCATGCACAGCAGAGCCTGGCACAGCATAAACTTTCAGTGACCTTGAAGGAACGTTTCTTGTTTTGTAGGAGGTTAAAACTCAGTACACAGAGTAGGCAGTGTTCAAACTGGATAAAACATTGATGAATTGATATTAAGGAGAGAATAGAGTGTATACCCCGGGTAAAGAATCCACATGAGTGAGGGCACAGAGGTGTCAAAGACCCTGGTACGGTTGGAAAGTACTTGAAGTCCCTGCTTTTCTAAAAGCACGTTGAACACACCAGCCGTCTTTCACCATCAGCAGTACTCACCAGGTACAGTAGATACTGAGCCAGTGTTCAGTGCCCTCTGCATATCAAGATTCACCGGTGTTGGGAATAAAAAGGAATATAAAGCATATTATCTAATATCTTTTTATTCCTCACTGAGGTTTAATGACACATTTACTCAATGTGTTATTGGTTGAGCACTGTCCTAGTTACTTTCTATTGCTGTGATAAAAACACTGACCAAAACCAACTTGGGGAGGAAAGAGTTTATCTTACATCTCCCAGGTCACAGCTCATCACTGAGGGAAATCGTGGCAGAAACTCAAGGCAGGAACCTAGAAGCAGGAGCTGAAGCACAGACCACAGAAGAATGGAGGAATGCTGCTTACTGGCTTGTTTCCCTGGCCTGTTCTCAGCCTGCTTTCTCACACAGCAACGGACCACCTGCCTAGGGGTGGCACTGCCCACAGTGGGCTTGGCCCTTCCACATCACTCAACAATAAAGAAAATGCTCCACAGACTTGGCCATAGGCCATTCCAATGGAGGAAGCTCCCCAGCTGAAATTCCATCTACTTTGGTGTGTCAAGTTGACAACTGAAGCTATCCAGCACAAGCAGTTACTATAAGCCAGACCTGTTGAGATCACTAGGGACACAGCAGTAAACAAAGTAGATCAAACTGCCCGCCTGCATGAAACTCCTTTTCCAGTTAGGCTGGGAAGGGAAGGGAGAGCCCCTACTGCTGTATCATTGGCAACTCTTAATCATTAGCCCTGGGAGACAGTCTTCTGGTGAGAGCTAGAGACATTGTCTCTGGGGAACTCGGGGACAGCAAGCGGGTTTCAATGTGGTTGGTGGCAGTAGTTGAGTTCTTTTCTAGGCATTGGAAGCTCAGTCTGTCTCAAGCTCCTCCATAGCTTCATGTGCTTTATGCCATGTTGAGAGGACTTTTAGCACCCAGGGCAGGTAACATGATAGGACTGGAAGACTTGAGGTAGCACAGGAAAGTGGATTTCCCCAGGGGGTTAAAGTGCTATGGTGTGAGATCTTTCTCCCTTGCCTGTTTCTCTCTCCAGCACAGAATATGCCATCAATAAGCTGCGGCAAGAAGGGAGCGAAGAGGGGATGTATGTGCTGAGATGGAGCTGCACCGACTTTGACAACATCCTTATGACCGTCACCTGCTTTGAGAAGTCTGAGGTCAGTCAGAAGACAGGTGTGGGCCAAATGATGTAATTTCAAAGTGTCTAGTTCCACAGAGCCCAGGAGCTGTAACAGTGCCTGGGTATCTCTCAGCAAATCCTTGGGTAGTCTGGCAAGAATTCCCTGCTGGATAGGAGACTTTGAATAGCCAAACCCAGTGTCCTTTCCTCATAGCTCTCCCTCTAACCCTCATGCTCTGCTCTTCTCCCTCCCTCCCTCTGTGCCTCCCTCCCTCCCTCCCTCCCTCTGTGCCTCCCTCCTTCTGTCCCTCTATTCCTCTCTCCCTCTAGTACTCCCTTCTTCCATAGAAGGACTATGGCTTTGAAAGGTAGAGCATGACCAGAAAACGGGCTCACATCAGATTCTGTATCCTCATAGACTTAGAACTGTTTGTGGCATTTTCTGGTGTGGTCTAGTGCCAAAATTGTACCTCACCAACATGGCCTAAGAGGATTCCTCAGCAATAGTTTCACACATTTTAACAAATAAATTGCTATTCCAAGATGTCTATTAAAGAAACATCCAGGTGCGCCTAGAAGCTGAGAATGATGTGAAAGAAATCCTGAAGGCTAAGGTATTAGTTAGAATTGGCTCACAAGACCTTAGCTGCCTTGCTATTCATGCTGCTTTTAGAATGCTAAGTGGAATATTTTAGATGGTGAATTTTACAGGGTTAGTCTACACAAATCCACCAGGATAGTGAAGCTCACATAGACTGGGAAAACTGGAGTGGGAAGAACCTTCTAGATGGAGGCCAGGCATTAGCATATGGCAGAAGTCAGACACAGGAGAGAAAAGTACAAGAGAGCCCCCTGGGACTTGGCCTTGTCAAGAGTGGAAAGAGGAAATGGCAGAAGGAAACCAGTGTGACCAGGTGTCCTGGGTAAAGTCACAGGGGTGTTCCTGAACAGCCAGACCTCAGGGCTGACTTGGGCTCGGTGGCTCAGAACTTGCCAGGCTTGTTGCCTAACAGGATGCCTATCTTTGTTACTCATCAGTCTTTGGAGGAAGCTTAATAAGATGGTAAGTACTTAAGTAGCCCAGCCTCCCGAGGTAGAATCAGCCTGTGCTGTGCCAAAAAGGTCATTGTCTGAGGAACACAGCCTGCTTGGTGTCAGGTTACCTGGAAAAAGAACAGAGAGGACTGAGCCTTTAGCTTATTCCATCTGACCAGGAAGAGGGCTAAGCATTTTACACTGGGGTTAAACCTTACCATATAGTAAACGTGAGGCTATCCCATTGTATAGGTGAAGTAACCTTGTAAAGCTTTGAGATTTTAAAGACCATGTCCCAGTTTATACCATGAGTAGATCTTCTGGCCCTCAGTCTTAACCACTAAATAGCTTCCTTACTTTCCTTTGTACAAGAAGAACCATGGAAAAAAGCTGCCTGTACTGCCTTTCTGTGCCACTAGAACAGTAAACTGGATGAATAGCCATACACCAACTCCCAGTATGGGTCTCTTCACATAGATTCATGGTGTGGAAGGGCCCAGTGTGAAAGACCTCTGGATGAATTTTGTTATTATTATAACTAAATATAATAGCTAATATACGTAATATTAGCTAATATTTGTAAGGTAGTAAGAGTTTTGCCTTTTTAAAAAACCATGTATTAATTGTACGTAATTATGGTTTTTATTACAGTTTCATTCACGTACATGTTTTGGTACTTACCCCTGTAATCCTTTCTTGCCCCTACTCCTGCTAATCCCTTCTTCCCAGCCAGTCCCCCTTCCATTATCGTGTCTCCCCTCTCCTTTCCTCCCTCCCTCCCTTCTCCCCTCCCCTCTCCCTTTTTGGTGATCCACTGAGTTTAATTAGAGTAGCTTATAGGAGCATGAGTGAGGGGTTATTTACAGAAGCCTGGGCACCTTACCTATCCCACTGAAGAAAATGTCTCTTCCTTCCTCAGCAACCATTAACTGTATTTATATCCACAGTGAGGGATGGAACTCTTGTGCTGCATGACAGAATGTTATGGACCTGGTTGTGTGCAGGTCTTGTGCTGATAATCACAGCTACTGATAGTTCAAGAGCAGTGGTCACGACATGCCAGGAAGAAAGCATTCCACAACACTCCACCCCTTCTCCACTCTTCTAAAATGTCCCCTGAGCCTTGGAGTAGGTGATACAGACATCTCAGTTGGTTATTCTAAAAAGTGCCAAGTTTTAAAATACACTTGTCCTTTAAGCACAGCAGCAGTTCTGTGGCATTTTTATGGCCTTCATCTTACAGGTCAAAACCCAAGTGACATTTCTGAAGCTATAACAGCTCTGTCTGTTAATGCTGACTCCCTTTAATCGGTGCCTTCTCCTGAACTCTGATGTTACTGACTTATTGGTTGGTTGGTCTGTTTACGTAGTTTTTTAATTTTGAATTGTTCTTAGGCATACAATGTTTCTGAACACTCCCCCTCAGATCCCTCTAGCATTAGCATACTCCAAGAACATTTGCCTAAACCTATTCTAAACAGGTAGTTTCTGGTTGTTTTTCTGGATGGCAGGTATTGGGAGGCCAGAAACAATTCAAGAACTTTCAGATCGAGGTACAGAAGGGCCGCTACAGCCTGCATGGCTCGGTTGACCACTTTCCCAGCCTGAGAGACCTCATGAACCATCTCAAGAAGCAGATCCTCCGCACAGACAACATAAGCTTTGTGCTGAAACGTTGCTGTCAGCCCAAGCCCCGAGGTTTGTCTGTGACAATCAGGTTGTGCCCCTTGGTGATACATACCCTTTGTCAGTTGGTGATGTTTCAAAACCCATGTGGCCCAAGAGATGCTGTCTGGCTGAGTTAAAGAAAGTAACCCCTTACCATAGGTTTTGAGAGTTTTCCTTTCAGCTCATTGCAAGTCTGTCCCTGTCTCAAATCTCATCCCAGTGTTTTCTATAGAATTCCTTTCCTCAGCATCTCAGATAGGCTACAGAAAGGAGCATGTTTAGGATTAGTAAGCCAGAATTTCTTTGTTTTTTGAGGTAGAGTGGCTTGAGAACTCACCCAATTTCTGTTTATGTATCAGAAAAATGTTCCTGGCACATCTTCTGTGGACCAAGAACCACATTAGATGGAAAGAATCAGAGATGCCTAAGACCCATTCCCTGTTCTCTGAAGGTATCTACCCTACGCTAAAGGTCACTGAGACTACCTCACTATACAATGGCTGTTTTAATCAGCACACATAGGTACCATACCATGGGGTAAAAAGAAAGATGGTCAAAACCTCTGAGCCATGGGGCATGGTAGACTGAATGGAGGAGGCAGATCTTGAGCTGAGTATTGGATGATGAGACAGAGGTACCAGTTAGGCAGATTCTGCCCAGCAGAGCAAGGATCGTGCACAGGGGCAGAGTGGCAGGTTGGGGCAGGAGCTGCAGAAAGCTTCAGGTGTGCAGGGATGTAGTGAAACAGAAATAGAGAGAATAGGAAGTAGGACTAAGGAGGGCAGATTTGGGATCATGGAAACCTCAGCTGCCATACCAAGGAGCTAGAACTTTCATTCTTCAGGCAGAGGGAGCCTTAGAAGGATCTTGGAGTAAAACCTAAACAATGGCCTGTTGTGGTGGCACAGGCCTTTAATTCTAGCAGTCAGGAGGCAGAGGTAGATAGATCTCTATGAGTCCAAGGCCAGTCTGGTCTATATAGCAAGTTCCAGGCCAGCTAGTACTATATAGTGAGACCTGGTCTCCAAACAAAACAAAAACCCAAGCAAAGGGCCAGGGACGCAGCTGTTCTTTGGTAAGCTCCAAGAGTAATGTGACCATTGTCCTGCAGGTGGATTCATTGCCTCTGAAGTGAGTGTGAAGGGATGCTTTAGGAGTTATCTGGCCAAGGGCCTCATCTTATAGAAGTGAAAAAAGTCTCATTGAGGTTCAAGGTGAATTGAGTGCCAGGTCTAACCTGAATGCTAGGTCCTCATACTGGGTGTTTGTTTTTTGTCGTCCCCCCCCCCCAAGAATACAGCCTTACATTGTTGGATCTTTCCTTAGAACCGCCCAGCCTGAAGAGGAGGAAGTACAGCAGCCTCTAACTCCTTGTTCTGGAGCAGGCTTTTTGTCTGAACCCATATTGTTCTTTAAGGGAATTGTATCTTCAGGGGCAGAAAGGGCCTAGGTTGTTTTCTGGAGGTGCTAGAGGCTGAACCTGGGGCTTCATTCACATGAGGCAAGTGCCCTACTGCTGAGCTGTCTCCAACCCGGGGTGATGGAGTTTTTAATGTGTGAATTGCGCATGTTTTAGTCCCAACAAGGGGCTGTCCCTGAACTTGAAAGAGGAAGGACTCCTGTTGATCAGATAGGGTTACCTGCTAGCTCCAGAGAATAACTGCAACCTCTGGTTTTATGCTGGAAGATGATCCACAAAAGAGGAAAACACATCTGTCTCTTGGCCATGATATCTCAAAGCTCCTTAAAACCTTAAAGCCAAACAGCCATGCTTAATCACATGATCTCCTTCTGGGTATTAAAAGATCTTCCTTTCCTAGGGACTCATAATCCCTAGGGGAGGACAGTGTTCACAGGAATGGAGAAGGCTAGAGACTAGGATGTGATTTCCTTGATTTTCCGTCTGTACAGGGTTCCTGTACAGAACTCTGACATAGATGTCACCCAGAACAGTGCAGATCTGGGAGCAGGTAGCTTTGGGGAAGAGGTACAGGAAAAGATCCAGACCTCTCTTGAGGCCCTACTCCTAAAACGGAGCACTGAGAGTGTTTCCTATTTCCCTTTCCTACTTGCTTGTGAACCTCCAAGGCAATATCTGGGTTTCACTCACCACTCTTGACTCATGGGAAGCCCAGGGCAACACAGGATCAGTGTGTAGAATGTCTGTCAAGTGGTATTTATAGCAGTACCTGCCACTGTAGCAGTACCAACTGGCAGTTCACATGCATGTTTCATTTTCTCTCTCACACAGTAGCTCTTTATACCAATTATAGAGATGAGGAAATTGGATCTCAAGGTTGGTGAGTGACTCTCAAGGCTCCACAGCTGATGAGATCAGTGGTAGTTACAATAGCAGCAATGAATAACAATAATGGCTGCTACAGGCTTTGTAAGGCTTGTGTCTGCCAGATACAGTTGGAAGGCCTTACGTGTTGCAAGCTGTTTAGTCCCATGTAGAGCTTCCTCAAGCTCCTCAGACTGCTTTCTTCCCTCTGCCACTTGCAAATTGGAGAAATGCTAAAAATCAAGAAAATGTGACATGAGCTTTTGGTTTAGTGAGCTCCTCTGCTTTCCTAACCATAGGGTTCCCAGAGCTAGACTCCATGATCTAGATTTCTTACTAGAAAATACAACCAAGAAACTCCTCATGGAAGAGAAAAAAAAAAAAGTCAAAGGAAAAGGCGAGTAAATTCTTTGTCAGGCTCAGTGCCCAGCAATACACTTGAGGGATATAGCACCCATCTTCCCACATCCTCAGCGCAAGTGTGCCATGGAATTTCCAGTCAGTTCGCTCTGCAATGAGGACTTCTGCACCTGCTTAGTGGTTGAGTGCTTGCCTACCATGCACAAAAATCACACTACAAAATAAACAAAAAAAACAAACAATTGTTGAGCACCCATTGTGTCTCAGGCTGTAGATGCAGAGCAGAAAATAAGGTAGACATAGTCCCTGGTTTCTTAGGAGTTTTCTTACTTAGATTTAGTTTGGTGCTTTATTTTGCTTTATTTTTTGCTTTGTTTTGAGATGGAGTCTTATCTAGCTCAGGCTGTCCTCCAACTCACTAATTGAATCTGACCTTAAACTCCTGATTCTCCAGCTTCTGCCTCCCAATTGCTAGGATTACCAGCCTGTGCCAGATATTCTTAGATTTAAATCATCATTTCCTAAAGGAAACTCCCCTGACAGCTGTAATGTGAACCTTGGAGCCCCTTGGGCAAAATGGAGCTTTCTAGATGGTTGACTGGTTAATATTGGCTCTCATTAGCCTGCAAGCTTCTAGAGGGTATGAATTAAATACCCAATAAATATTTGTTGAATGAGAGAACTAGCTTGGTAAGCCTCATGGTTTAGCATACATTGCCTGGCCACGGTCTAGGACCTACAGTATGCTGCTCAGACTTTTCTAATCTGTTCCACAGAGATCTCCAATCTGCTGGTAGCCACTAAGAAAGCACAGGAATGGCAACCTGTCTATCCCATGAGCCAGCTGAGTTTTGATCGGATCCTCAAGAAAGACATTATACAAGTAAGTCATTACTGTAGGCATTGGCATAGACTTGGCCCAGCCTTGGTCCTGCTCCCCACGAGGAGAACCCCTGGAAATTTTGGGGTGGTGGTAGATAAAGGCTGCTTTGGGGAAATCCTAGTGTTTAAAAGGAGGAGACTCACTTTCACAATTGAAGCTGCTCAAACAGCATCCTCCTCGTCTTACCCAGCCTTGTTGATGATGTCATCTAAGACACTGATCATTGGGGAATGTGAATGAACAGGGTGTGGGGCTACCTGGGATGGAAGGACCTTCCATTGTGTGGGAACACTGATGTGACAGTGGAAGTTGGTCTCTGGCAGGAGCCTGGGCTGATAGCCCCCCCCACCTTACAGCATTGCTATAACACTACCTCTAGGGCTCAGTCCTGCATAGTGAAGAGAACAGAACAGAGACCCCTGTGGATGGCAAGATAAGAAATAGCTTGAGAAACACATCCTCATGGGGACCCAGACCATTGTCACAGCCTTTTCTAGGATAGCCTTTACCACCCAGAACTTACAGTCTTAGACATTCCCAGAGTGTTGACTGTAGCTGCACTTCGGCCTTGTTGGGGTATGAAGGCCAAGGACAAATCTACTTTCTGTTCTGTGCTCTCTCCCCAGCCCTAGTAGAGAAGAGCTACATAGAGCAGGAGGTGAGGCATCAAAGCAGACAACATGCCAGCAGCCTTGGGGAGAAAGAAACTATAGAACCACTGGCTGCCCAGGAGGGTCTGTAAAGCCTGGATGGTTGGTGGGCCAGGCACAGGCTCACTGCTATGAAGGAGGCCAGGGGAGATGGCAAGAATCTGTTTAAGAGTATACAGATGTCTTCACTGAAGACCTGTCCTTACTGATGTCTGTCACTGTGGTGGTGTCAGAGTAGAGTGCCCTGACATTCAGATCACACTGGAACTGTAGTACACAGTCTGTTTTCTATATAGAACTTGACATACAACTTGAGACCTGCCTTCTTTCTTCCTTGGAGCCTCTGAGCAGATAACTACTACTCTTTATCCTTTCTGCATCCATTTAGCCAAGAGAGATCGAGCATTCGCATACAGTAGATGCAGTCACTAACTTCTGTAGACTAATAGTGCAATGAGGAGGAAGAGCCTTGCTTATCCTGAGGTGACCAAGCATAGCAGGATGTGGGACTATGAGACCTGGTTTTAGGCTGGATTCCTGGGAAAGGAGCAGCAAAGTATAGTTCCAGAAGATGTGCAGCAAGTAACTGTGCAGTCAGGGAACTGCATGGAAGGAGGCTGGAGTGAACATCAGCCTTTGTGGGTTGCTATAACCTGGCCCTCCTGGGAATCAAGCCACCTCCTGGGAAGAGTGACTGTTCTGGAAGAATAAATGGCTTTTATGGGATATTCTGAGACTACAGCTTCCCATAATTTTGATAGATTGCTTCATGACGCATGAAGCTCTAATTAATACGGGGCCTTGCCAGGATGCAGCAGACAGGTAGATAAGTAGCCGTTGTACTATGACAGGTGACAAATGGTGGTATTTGTGTAAATTAATATACCCGATTAACAATGGTGTATGTTTCTGTGGGGAACAGGACTGGTTCCCTAGGTATGTGCCACAATCCATTTTCTTTTTTTTTTATATATATTTTTATTTAATTTGTATGCGAGTATTGCCTGTGTATAAGTGCACCCGTGTTGTGCAGTGCCCATAGAAAACAGAAGAGGGTGCTGGATCCCCTGGAACTGGAGTTATGGACAGTTGTTAGCTGTCATGTGGGTATTGGGATTCAAACCCGGGTCTTCTGCAAGAACAGCCAGTGTTCTTAACCCCTGAGCCATCTCTCCAGCCCCCACAATCCATTTTCTATATATACAAGGGTCCTAGAATCATAGAATAGTAGACCCTTAATTTGCAAGCTTTGTGGGACTATATTAAGAATTTAAAAATTAGAAGTATTGGAAGTCCATCTGTAAGGGTCCTTAGAGACAGACCCTCTGTGCTAAGGGCTTTGCAAGGGTGGTCTTACTCATCTGGTAGTATGATTTCCTTCCTTTGAGGAAACTGACAGCCCTAGGCCTCAGCTTGGGCAGGTGCTCATGTATTTGCATCACTGCTTCTCAAGGTCTACTGTGGATACTAGGTGGGTGGAGGGTGAGTCCAATGTGAAAAAAAAACAGGCACTGCTCTGAAAGCTTTGAAGCAAGCAGAGTGCATAAGCTCAGCAGATGGGTTCTGTGTGTCAGAGTCTGTATCAGGAGCATTTATACTTCGTTCCTTACTTACTTCTTACTGCAGCACTACAAAACAACTGACATTATTATCCACTTACAGAGACTAGACAGAGATTAACCACCACAAAGGAATGCACCCTAGTTAAATGGCCACCAAACAGTAGGGTGAGGAGTTAAAAACCCCTTCACTTTGTCCTCCAGCCTGAGAGTAGAGGTACTACCTGGCTGAGTCCTCCTAGAGTCTGTTCTGGAGCCCTGGGGTTGGAACTGATGTGTCTGGCTGCTGGGTACTGTTTGCAGGCTTGTGATAGATCACAGCTGGGCTCTGATGATAGGCTGATTCTCCAGGTGGAAAGCAAGTGAACATTTAAGGAGTAGGACTACTTCTGGGGTCCAGAACAGCTTTTTTTTTTTTCTGAAGAGCTGATGAGGATAAGGCCCTGGAGTTTGGGAGCCTTGTGGTTTGTTTGCCTTGGCTCTGTACAGTGTCCCATTGAGGACTCAGCTCCTGACTCAGGCCATCATACAGCTGGGAGAGTCACCTGGCCTTGTGTTTCCTCCCTCAGGGTGAGCACCTCGGCAGAGGCACAAGAACACATATCTACTCTGGGACCCTGATGGACTACAAGGATGATGAAGGGACTGCTGAAGAGAAGAAGATAAAAGTCATCCTCAAGGTCTTAGATCCCAGCCACAGGGACATTTCTCTGGCAAGTGCTCCCCCTTTTCTCAAGGCAGGGAATGTAGGCACCCCCTTTTAGACCATGTGGTTCCCACCTTCTCTTTCAGTCATACTTCTCTTCAGTACTTTCTGTGACAGACTATGAAACTACTGAGGGAGGAATGAAGATGAAAACAAAAGCAGCCTCTTGTACCTGTCCTGTCCTGCTGTCCTGTCCTGTCCTGTCCTGTCCTGTCCCCTTCTCTGTCATCAGAAGCCCCTGTGTGGTGCTATAGAACTCTAGGAAAAGCCAAGTGGTCTCAGAGCTCCCAAGGGATTCCCAGGCTCCTACACATGGAAACTTGAAGGAGTCAAATGGCTTGCCCTGGACCTCACTGACTGTTGGAGAGGGACAAAGCCAAGTGTGGAGCAGAGATCTGCTGCCTTGGCTTCCTGTTTATCATGACATAGTGCTAAACATTGTCAGTTCGTGAAATTTAGAGAAAGAGAACAAGGTGGGTCTGGATAGCTAATAGGAAAATTAGCAACTAGCTTATCCCACCAGTCTTGCTCTGTATTGTATTTTCTAAATAAATCCCATACCTTAACTAGAAATCTAAGGTCAAGACATGTCCATGCCTCTGGACAGTTGGGGAAGGAATTTTTAGGACCTGGGGATGACAGTGGTGAGTTTTCTTCGTGTCCACTGATGGTCTCTTAGCAGTCTGGGGTGAACCTAGACATTCCCATGTTTTTTCTCTCACAGGCCTTCTTTGAGGCGGCCAGCATGATGCGGCAGGTTTCCCACAAACACATCGTATACCTTTATGGTGTCTGTGTCCGAGATGTGGAGAGTAAGTATGTTCTCTCTTGAAGGAGGCAGTTGGCCCTGGCTGGGGTGTGTGTACTCTGAAGACTATCCTGGCTACTTGCTTTCCTTCTGCAATTGGAGAATTCAAGGTGCTCAGCAGTTGGGTTGCAGAAGTCAGTGGCAGCCATGGTTTGTTCTCATTTCTTTAACACATACTTTTGCCACTCAGACCCCACATGGCAGGACTTGGGAGGTTGAGCTAAAATGAGGCTGTTAGGTGAGGCGTGGCAAGAGCTAGAAGAGGGTCATGGTAGGAGAGTGTGTGCAATGGGCTGGCCTGCTGAAGAGATTTCTGCCAGTAGCCTGGAGCTGACTGACAATCTCTGGTGTCAGGTTGCCTGATAGGAATGTCCAGGAAGAGGAATTTTCTTAACCCTGAAAGCTTTGATCTCTGAAGTCTGTTGTGTAGGATGTCCCATATGTCCCCGTGTGAGCCTTACTGATAGGGGAGTTTGGTCCTGTGGGCAGCCTAACCTATGTGTCATAGTGTATGGTGCTATAAAGTGGCAGTGGTGGCAGTTCTGAATCCTGTTCTATGTGTCAGGCACTTAACCAAGGCCTTCCATGTCTTGTCTGGTCCTCCCCAGGCTCCTGTGAGATTAAGTATTGCTGTTTCTATGCTGTTAAGATGATGTCATGTAGGGTCACAGGAATAGATCATTTTTCTCCACCAATTTAAAGAATAACAAGGCAGGAAAAACAAACTTCTCAGCACTCAGCCAAATTATATTGATAGTGAAAACACACGAGAGGGACAGAGACAGAGACAGAGACAGAGAAAGCACACACACAGAACACACAGAAACAAGTGGGAAGAGGACCCAGAGATGATGCATCTGATGCTGGGATTTTATATGTTTGGGGATAGGAGCTCCTTTTTCACTCTCAGAATTGGCTGATATAGGATATCACAGGGTATTGGATAATCCAGACAAAGAGGGAAGCTGATCGACTCACTTCAGGAGCCTTCCAGTAGGAGATTTCAAAGCCCTTGAAGAACGGTTCACAGTGGTAAGGGTTGGGGTGGGGGAAATGAAGTCTTTGTCTTAGGGGAAAGAATCAGGAAGTGGCCATCTTAAATATTTAAGAGATAAGTACATTAATCTACATAGAACCTCTTTTCTTATCTCTCTGCCTACCAGGGATCTGTCTGACTCTTAGTCCTTCATTTCCATATATTCAGACAAAGGCTCTGAGGCTCAAGATCCCTTGCTCAAGGTCATCAAGATTAGAAGTGGAAGAACTTGGGGTTGAGCCCAGGCCTGGCTAGCTCTGCAGTCCTCTGCTGCTTGCACCTCCCAAAGATTTGTGTACTCTGAAGCTGAGCACTATCCACTAAAGGGTGCTGTTGTAAGGGGTGACGGAGAATTATCCTGCCCAACCCCAGGCAGAAGATTCCAGATATGGCTGTTTTTATGCCTGCAGATATCATGGTAGAAGAGTTTGTGGAGGGAGGACCACTAGATCTCTTCATGCACAGGAAAAGCGATGTCCTCACTACACCCTGGAAGTTCAAAGTTGCCAAACAACTGGCCAGTGCCCTGAGTTACTTGGTAAGAATGTTCTCATGTCCATGGTATTTCCTACCAGAACAAGTGTTCCACTGGGGGGAGGGCGGGGATGGCAGGAAGAGGTGCTGCTGGAGAGCAAGTAGAGGGGCCCCATCCCAGGTTCCAGATTCCAGGTACAGAGCTCAGTGGTTGAGCACAGGTGTGCCTGTGCTGTTCTGTAGGATTGCTTATGAATCCTAGATAGAGGAAAATGTTGGAGGACTGGTTATTTTTTGTACAGAAAAGGGAGAAACAGCCCGAGCATGCTGAATGAATAAGGGAAACTCCCAATGTCCATCAGAACTAACATTGTAGGGCACATATCCTGGGCCACCTGGTGCAGGTTTTACATACTCACAAAGCCCTATAAGGCATGTTCTGTCATTGTCTCTGTTTCACTGATCAAAGACCTGGAGCTGAGGGACGCATCAAGTAGACTGTCGTAGGTGAGCCAGACTGTGGGATCTGCTGTGCCTGGGGTGGTGAACTGGACTGTGGGGCCAGGGTTGGAAACAGAGGGTGAAGGGAGAGAAGACAGGCCAGCTTGCTACATGCACCTTTTTTTATTCTACAGGAAGATAAAGATCTAGTTCATGGAAATGTGTGTACCAAAAATCTTCTTCTGGCCCGTGAGGGAATTGACAGTGAGATTGGCCCGTTCATCAAGCTCAGTGACCCTGGCATCCCTGTCTCTGTGCTATCCAGGCAAGGTGCGTGTCCTCCACTTATTTTCCAGACCATTCCCATTCCCTACTTCTGCACCAGGCATCTGGCCAGCAGCAAGAAGGTGCTGGGCTATGTTAGGTCTCCCTTTAGAAAGGGAGTCAGCAGACAGGTAAATGGTGCTAATGCTGTTTGGTCTTTGTGGTAAAGGTACTGTGATCCACACAGAGGGGTCCATGAGCCCTAGGAAGTAGTCAGAGATGTTAGGGCAGGTGGTTGGCGTCCTGAATCCTCTCCTGTGTTCTGGAACCCCACTGTAGCCAATGGGCAGTATGGAAGGCAGCACATTCTTTTTGACCAATGAATGCTGAGATCTCTACCTTCACGGGGGATTAGGTTATACAGAGTTATAGGCTCCAGAAGGAAGGGCAGCCCCAGCAGCTAAGATCTTAAACCAGTGCTGCCCAGATTGTGTTCTGCCCCCTAGCCTGCTACACAGGAGGACCAGTGTGCCCCAGGACCTGATGCTAGTGGTCTGTTAACAGCCTCTGCTACCTTCAGCATTGAGTTTTGGTCAACTCTATATTGAGTTTTGGTCAATAATTTAGTAAGAGAATAGAAAGCAGGATGAAAAATAAGTGTTGTAAGTAACCCTAAATACCCATTTCTTGAAAGGGGAGCTGGAATCATCCTGTGATACCTATTTTATAGGTATCACATGCCTATCATCCAGTAGTCCTTAGGCAGACCCAGTCAAGGGTCTTGTCCTTAGTAAGAGTCACTGAGAACTCCAGGATAAGCCGAGAGGCCTGGGAATCTAGTGGTGCTGATAACACACTGGATTTGGGGGAGCAACATGGTCAAAATGTAGGCAGAAGAGGGCTCAAGAAGATGTTTGCACTTCATCTGGGTCTTGCAGGTCATTGAGGTGACTCCAGCAGGGCATCATGTGCATGTGCTGTGTCAGGAGACATACTGAGAGGCTGGGAAGGTCAGGTGGGCTTGAGCCTTAATACTGTGCTCAGAAGCAACCCTGCTCCTTTTTCTTTGATAGCCAGGAGACTGTAGAGGACCCTGCATTTGGCAAAGGCATTTCAGGGGACATGTCAGAAGTATCTTTGAGATTGTTGGTCCTTGTCTTAGTTAGAAACCAAAAAAATAAGCCACTGAGGTCACCAGAATTAAGAGGCGTGTGATTTCTTCACCTGTTCTTTCATTCTCTGTGTTTTTCTTAAAGAAGAGAACCAACATAAAATGAAGAGTTTTGAGCCATTGAGTAGGTTATAAGCAGCTGCCTGCCTCTGAAATGCTGGCCTCTTCTCCTCCCCACTTTCCCTTTCCTGAGCCTTTGTTCACAGGACCCCTGCCCTTCTGCGGTGGCCCTGCCCTGTAGTGCTCTGCTGTTTCTGAGGCCAGGTTTCTGCAGATGGCTCTTCTGAGAAGCTTGTGAAAAAGGACCCCTGTGCTGGCCCTGATTGGAAGCACCTAGTCAGGGACTGGAAGGCTGCTGTCTGGTGGGCCTGTTATGGGTTCATGTGGCCAGGAACTCTACAGGAAGCAGTTCTTTCATGGATCCAGGGCTCTGGTGGCAGCAGCAGCATTTGGCACACTACATGGTCCCAGAAGCTGGTCTGTAGGTTGGTCTGTTCTTTCTCCAGAATGCATAGAGAGAATCCCCTGGATTGCTCCTGAGTGTGTTGAAGACTCCAAGAATCTGAGTGTGGCTGCTGACAAATGGAGCTTTGGAACCACACTCTGGGAAATCTGCTACAATGGAGAGATCCCCCTTAAAGACAAGACCCTGATTGAGGTGAGACAATGTTTCCACCCACGGGTAAGATGGCAGATGCTCTCAGGCACAGTAGGAATAGCTGTACATAGGCTTGGGCTTGAGTTTCCCCCATAGGCTTGTAGATTTGTGATCCTACAAATGTAAGTAACTTCTCTGAGCCTTAGCTTCACTGTGTGTAAAATGGAAATAAAAACTCCTTTGTGGGATTCTTGATTGGCAGGCAATTGATTATTACAGTATTATTTACTGAAATTTGAAGTGCCTATTATTTTGTCTGTTGCGTGCCTGCTGTGTATCAGGCAGGCATTGTCCTGGACTGAAGCACTGACCTTGCCCTCCCCTGGGGACTATGGGGGATGGGGAATAGCAGGGAAGGTCAGCTCAATTAAGGGTAACATGATTCAGCTGACCCCTTACAATCCAGGTACAATGTACAAACTGGAGGACAGTGACTTCACTCAATTTCGATTTCAAAATAATAGAGAAAATATAGAAAATGGTGGGCTTTTTTTTACGTAATCTCTGTTATTCTTGACTGCTATTAATACTTTTAGTGTATTGTCATATTTGATTTTTTCGAGACAGGGTCTCCCAGCAGTCCTAGCTGGCCTGGAACTCACTATGTAGACCAGAATGGCCAGGATCTCACAGGGATCCACCGGCCTCTGCCTCCTGATTGCTAGGATTAAAGATGTGCACCACCACATCTGGCCATCCATATATTTTTAAATTTAATGTTGTGAGCATTTTCCTATGTGATTCTTACAGTTACTTTTTAAAATAAATTTAATGATTACTTGTTTAGCTTAACTCATTTTATATTTGGCATTTATTCTGTTTGCTCCTTCCAATTCTGCAGGGAATACCTTTGTCCATTAAACCTTGACTCATGTGTGATTTATTTCTGAGTCATGCAGTAATTGGAATTAACTAGCCAGGGTTTGAAGACTCTGAAGGCTGCTGTTGAGGTTCAGAAAGGCTGCAGGCTTCCCTATATCACAGCATCACAGAACTGGGATCTGCTTCTCTTTCTCCCTGAATTTGGGTTATTTTACTCTCAGGAGTGACATTTCTCCACATTGGAATAAGGACATAACAACCCATGTTTATGAACTCTGCCTTTTGGCACAGATGTTGGGGATTAAACCAGGGAGTAGATTCTGGGTTGAAAGGATGGAGGATTGTCCTTTGGTCTCTTCTCAAGTGTCACTTTTCTTTACAGAAGGAAAGATTCTATGAAAGCCGTTGCAGGCCAGTGACTCCATCTTGCAAGGAGCTAGCTGATCTCATGACCCGCTGCATGAACTATGACCCCAATCAAAGACCTTTCTTCCGAGCCATCATGAGGGACATCAACAAGCTGGAAGAGCAGAGTGAGTATGCAGCACTGTCTTAGCCCTAAAGAGTGGGGGCACGGAGGGTGGGAGAATGAGTGGAAGTCTGCCCGTGAGTGGCAGTCCTGACCATCACTTGCTTTTTAATCTACCTCCTTGTCTCTTCTGTTAGATCCAGACATTGTGTCAGAAAAGAAGCCAACAACAGAGGTGGATCCCACTCATTTTGAAAAGCGTTTCTTGAAGAGGATTCGTGACTTGGGAGAGGCAAGTTATACCTATACCTAGGGCTCATGTCTTCTGTTTGCTTGCATGTCCTCTCTGTATGCAAACTGCCCTGTCCCTCTTCATCTTGGGTCAAAGATTATAGAAGAAGTACCTTACTGCATTTTGTGGGGGACATTTACCCCCCACATTTACTACACTCGACATATACCATGCCAGAATGCATGTTGCTCTTGGCACATGACTATTGCAATTATATATCCACCCAGGTCAGCGTCCTCAAGAGCTTTGATTCTTCTGTCTGGCACAGAGGTGGTTAGGTACAGAGGTGGTAGAAATAGGAAAATCTCTAACTCTGACTTTCCTGAGATTATCCTGTGTGACTCCCAAATGAGGAGAATCCCAGCTTTTCCTTTGGACATCAGTTAATGTGGTTACTGGGATATGAGGCTTCCTACAGCTCTTCAATAGTTCCATTAACATCTTAACTATCTGATGTATGATCAGCACCTGTGTTAGGCATTTTCACAAACTTAGTCCTCATAGTACAAAGAGAGCATATCAGGAACCATCTCAGAAAGCTTGGTGATGCTAGCCAGCCAGCATCACTGTTAAGTGGCTTATCTGGGATCCATAGGTTCCCTCTGCAAATGCTGTTTTCAGTTCTGTTGTGGGCCCTGTCCTGTAGCATGGGCCCAGGACTGTAAAATACTTTAGTTGTCCTACAGGTCCAGAAATAGCCTCATTGCTTGTGGGGTATGTTGTATTGGCAACTGGGATTGATGAGTTGGTTCCTTAGTCACCTACTGCTCTCTAAATCTTAGCTCAGTAATGGGAAAGTGAGGCCAAGTGAAGATGGGGAGTGAGGTGGGTGGAGAGAGTCCAAGATACAAGCTTCACCTGCAGCATCAGGCTGTACTTTTGGCCCAGCCTTCAGAGGGATAGCATGAGCAGCAACTGAGAAGCTTCCCCTGCAAGATCAAGCTGTGTCCTCCCTCTGCCCCAACCCCTGCCTCCCAGCCTTCAGAGGAACAGCATGAGGCATAAGACATTTTCTCAGTGTATCTAGCTGGGCTGGATCTCTCTGATGTTCATCTTCCTTCCAGGGCCACTTTGGGAAGGTGGAGCTCTGCAGGTATGACCCTGAAGGGGACAATACAGGGGAGCAGGTGGCTGTCAAGTCCTTGAAACCTGAGAGTGGAGGTAACCACATAGCTGACTTGAAGAAGGAGATAGAAATCTTAAGGAACCTGTACCATGAGAACATTGTGAAGTACAAAGGAATCTGCATGGAAGATGGTATGTTGTGCATATTGGGCTCTGCTTTAGAGCCCAAGTGGCTGCCTGGGTCCTGTATGCCAGTGCTAAACAGGCACCTTTACCAGCTCCACTAGCTCCCCATAGACTTCCAGTGTTTCCAGGTTGCACACTGCCAAAGCCCTCGGCAGCTGTAGGCAGCTTAGCCTCCCTTCCAGTCAGGGAATGGATCAGCCTTGTCTCTCCAGAGGTACATGCACCCATGCTGGGGACAGGACTTCACCAATCCAGATAACCACACTGATGCTGTAAAGAGGTGACAACCCTTTACCTCCTTTCCCTATTCTTCTTACCCAATATTAACTTGGGCATTTTGCGCTGTACCTAGCCAAGGTAGCAAACCAAATCTAATAGTAGCAGTATTTACTAATACTTGTGTCTTATTTTCAAGCCAACCCACGTCACGCTTGTCCTTTAAGACTGGCAGTGAAGCAGGGCATGGTGGTGCATGCTTTTAATCCCCGTACTCAGGAGGCAGAGGCAAATGGATCTCTGTGTTTGAGGCCAGCTGGTCTGCATAGTGAGTTCCAGGCTCACTGTGAGTGACCAGAACTACATAGTAAGACCCTGACTCGGAAAAAAATGCAATCAACCAAAGATTGGTAGTGAAAGGACATAAGTTATAATTTTAAAAGTGATATTTGCCTACTGGTGCACAGAGCACTAGAGCTGAATTTATCCTGGTGTAAGGGTTTTGTGCCTGAGGTAGGGCCTGGAGATGTGACCTCCATTCACTGCTGACGTAGGACCTGGGGATGGGATCCCCATTTTCTGAGGAGGTGCCTGTATGCCATTTGGTAGGATCTCCTCATGTTCAGGGTGAAGCTGAAGCCCCACCAGGTCCTTTCTCAGAGCCTGTGCAACCACATACTGATGCCAGTTTCTCCTAAACAGGAGGGAATGGTATCAAGCTCATCATGGAATTTCTGCCCTCGGGAAGCCTAAAGGAGTATCTTCCAAAGAATAAGAACAAAATTAACCTGAAACAGCAGCTAAAATATGCCATCCAGATCTGTAAGGTAAAGACACACAAACAGAAAAAAAGATAGCACGTTTTAAAAATCAAGCATTCTACCCTGGGTAATTATTAGTAATTAGACTCCTGTGGGAGACTTGGTTATAATTGGACTGAGTTTTTAAAACTCTGTACTATTTGCATGAAACATGAGCCTCCACTATGCAAGTAAGTGAACCTGTTAGGTCCAAGTGCATCTGTGTAGAGTTCTTTGAATTGTTTAATCTTAACTAATAACAACAAAACTTGATGGCAGCTGGGAGGGTGAGTGTCAGCCTCTTTTAAGGGTGTGACTCTTGGTCAGTTAACCAGGCTCTCCAGTAGATGGACTCACACCAAAGGGCACTGGGGACACAAATTTGATTCTGTAGGCCTTAATACACTTATAATAGAGTGCATGAAATTGGGTGGGGGATACCAAGGCGGGGTGCAGATAAGAGAGGGGATCTAAATATAATCAAAATATATTGTATGAAATTCGCATAAAGGAAAAAAATGTCAGTGCTTTGGGAATGGAATGGTATTTCTTTTGTGAAGTGGCAGATGGCAAATACAATCTGAAGTGCCTTTTGCAGTGCCCGACCATTACTTCTCTCACAGGGGATGGACTATTTGGGTTCTCGTCAATATGTTCACCGGGACCTAGCTGCAAGAAATGTCCTTGTTGAGAGTGAACACCAAGTAAAGATTGGAGACTTTGGTCTAACCAAAGCAATAGAAACTGATAAGGAGTACTACACAGTCAAGGACGACCGGGACAGTCCCGTGTTTTGGTGAGTCTTTTCAGTGTTCCTTAGATTAGCACTGTTCTGGTAGGTTCTGTCTGGCTATACTTCAGTTTTCCTTCCTCTGGCCTCAGTGGAGCAGAGAGAGTAGAGCATTTCCTCAGAATGCTCTGCTGAAAGCAGCCTACACTGTGCCTTACAACTGTAAGATGGTACCAGCTTCTCTGGAGTGGGAGAGGTCTGGCCATCAACTCAGAATCTCCGGCCTCCCCACAAGCAGGCACTACTTGCTACAGTTCTCCCAGCTATAAGCAGGTAGAAGAGCTCCTTCTGAACACATCCATGCAGAGGATGACCTGGAGGGGGCCATGGGGCCATAGGGTACACATTGGCCAGAGTCAGGGAGATCAAGAGGGAGGCTTGGCTGACATTTGATTGGAGAGCCACACACTGACCATAGCCACCTTTCAGCCTGGAGCACTCTCCTGAGGGAAGCTGCCCACCTCCTACCCCTGTAAAGCTGGCTAAGCACCCTGGTGCCTCTTGCACGGACACAAAGAACCTTCTCCCACCTTCTTTCTCTCAACCAAAACCAAAAAAGAAGGAAGAAAATATGGCAAGGCCCAGGTTTATGCCTAGTACTGGAGACATGGTGACCAGTAGATGAGTCCTGAGTTTGTTGTGAGGCAGCCAACTTTGTAATACATTAGCAGGCTGCAGCATGGCTTTTTAGAAATCCTGCATGTTTGGGTAAAAGCTGAAAGACTCATGGGGGCTTATAGGGGTGAGTGGAAGGAAGCATGTGTGTCTGACAAGAATGAGAGGGGGACTAAAACTCGTCTGGGTGAGTCATCAAGAGACAGTTTTGTAGGGGGTGACTGAGTCAGAGCTTAGGAACCTGCGTTTGGGAGCCAGAAACTCACCACAAGGATATCAGAAGGGTAGAGAGTTTGTACTAAAAAGATCACCATGGAGGGGAGCAAGAACAGAGCCAGGGAATCTGGGTCAGCCACTTAAACAACCCAGGAAAGAGCCACAGCTGCGCAGCTTGGGATGGTAGTCCAGACAGTGGGAAATGGCTAGGTGTGAGGGGTAATTAGGATACTAGTTTTGGGATACTTGATATTTCCCTTCAGTACCTGGGCATCCTTCATTAACCAATGCCGCTGAAGAGGATACTAAATCTTAACATGCAGGGATTGAACCTGGGGCTAGTTCAAGGACCACCCCGTCCCCCAAAGCATGTCCTCTGGGACAGGAGTACAAACATGACTTCTCATTTGAGGACAAATAACATGATGCTGAGAGCCTCTGGGATATTGCTTTCTTTGTATTTCGATGTGCACTGTGGCAGCGGAGTCTGACTGACACCCAAACACACACTTAGGTGCCTTGTGGATTAAATTCTAAAGACCAAAGAAGACATTTTCCTGAGCTACTTGGTAATTTTTGGAGGAAAGAAAGGCTCACTTTCTGCTTTCTTTCAGGTATGCTCCAGAATGTTTAATCCAGTGTAAATTTTATATCGCCTCTGACGTCTGGTCTTTTGGAGTGACGCTGCATGAGCTACTTACTTACTGTGATTCAGACTTTAGTCCCATGGCTGTAAGTGTTAACTCCTGTTTTTATCTGAAGCCACAGCCCAAACATTTGTATCTGTTCTTCTGCTTCATAAGCTTTGCTTTTGAACAGAGTCTGGTCAGTGCATTACATTTGAAAGGAAAAAGGTCACTTTTCACTTAACTTGGTTAGACACAACAAGGTCTGGCAAAGGTTGGCTTCACAAGGAGCTCAAAATTCTATAGGATGACCCAGCATTTCAGGGTGAGAGACCATCTCAGCGGAGAATGATGAGCCAAAAGTACTATGGAGTAGGGGCTTGTTTTCACTTAACAGACAACTGTGGTCGGTAGTCTGAGGTGTTGATTATAGATTTATCATTGAGAGCAAATAAGGATTTGGGATTTTCATTTAAAATTACTAAGAAGGAAAGCTTTGTTACTTTAATTTCTCATAAATTCTAGAAATTTCACATTAATCTGGTTTTTCTATAGATATGTACAGATTAAAACATTTCGTTTGGTTTTATTTAACATAGCTGTTCCTGAAAATGATAGGCCCGACCCACGGCCAGATGACAGTAACACGACTTGTGAGTACACTGAAAGAGGGAAAGCGCCTGCCATGTCCACCCAATTGCCTTGACGAGGTAACCATGTTCCCCTCCCTGGGAATGAAACCTGCTATAAATGGTCTTACAGCTTGGCTTATACTAGGGATAGGGGAAGGGTGAGAAGAAGTGGAGTAGAAAAACCCTTCAAACTTGGCTGGAGAGATGGCTCAGTGGTTCAGAGCACCTGATATTCTTACATAGAACCAGAGTTCCTTTCCCAGCACCCATGTTGGGCAGCTTACTGACTGTAACTCCAGCCCCAGGGGATCCATTGCCCTCTTTTGGCCTCCTTGGACACCCCCCAACACACACACAAATACACATAAATGAAAATAAAATCTTAAAAAAGAGAAAGTCCTCTAAGCCATTTTTCTGAAACTGAGTTTCAGATAAGATATATGAGAAATCTCCCTTTGGGTAGTTAGGCCCCATCAAAGCCTGCCTCCTGCTCCCCTCCATCCTGAGCCTGTCCACATGCCTTATCAGAGGAGCACGTGATGACATCTTAGTGTGAAAACCATATCTAATCACATTTTCTTGAGCAAACTTCTCGATAGCATTTATGGTTTTCTGTATTCTAAAGTGAATTGAGCCTTTTAGCATTGGTTACTAGACACTCTTAAGATGTAATGAATGGTAAGAGTGAGGTACCATGGTGGTGGGCCAGTCTCACCTTTGACCTGCTCACCCCTTTCCCAGGGTCACAGTAGTGACCTGGATTCTGTTGAAGGTTAGTCAACCTATGAGCTAATCAAATGCTAATATAATTTACAAACTATAGATTGTGTTTTCTGGATTTTAAATTATTCAAATACTCTCATTTTCTAGTCCTATTAAAGAAAGGCAATTCCCAAACATATTCAAAATTATTTTCTTATGCCTGATATTTCTTATTCTCTCTCTCTCTCTCTCTCTCTCTCTCTCTCTCTCTCTCTCTCTCTCTCTCTGGTGTGTGTATACATGTACGTATGTGTGTGTGTGTGAGGGCTTGTGTGTATGTGGTGTCCATGCATGCATGTTTGCATGTGTGAGGGTGCTTGTGGATATGAGGTGGTGTCTTCCTTGATTGCTCTCTATTTTATTCACTGAGGCAGGGTTTCTTGGTGAGCCTAGCCCTGATTCTGCATGTCTAGCCAGCTTGCCCCTAAGGCCTCCATACCTGCCTGGTCTTTTTTGTGGGTGCTTGGGATCTGTCTGAACTTGGGTCCTCAAGCTTCTGAGTCAAGCGCTTTCTTCACTAAGTTATCTCTCCAGCTCCTCTATTATTCTAAAATCTTGTCAATCTGACATGATTTTTATTGTCCTTGTTTTTATTTTTTATAGGTTTATCAACTTATGAGAAAATGTTGGGAATTCCAGCCCTCTAACCGGACAACTTTTCAGAACCTTATTGAAGGATTTGAAGCGTTGTTAAAATAAGAAGCATGAGTGGCATGTAGACTCCACTGTTATCAAGCTCTCCTCCCTAAGCCATCTAAAATAATTTTTTTTATGGAAGTTTGTATTCTATCTAAAAAGTCTCTCAACAAATACTTGAGTACATGCATATGTCATACTGTGTTGCTTAATGTGTGAAACTTTCTCTTTAAATTTGACACATCTTAAATTTAGTGACAAATAATGACAACCAAAATACTAGAATTCACCTAAGCACTCCTCCTTTCGGAAAGATTAGACCCTGAATTGCATAACAAAGGACTCTTGGCCTTAGCAGTGCCTCAGAGTGATTGCTCTTCCCAGCTGCCAGGAACCTCAGATGTTTTGCTGGCCTATTAATCTTAGATAAAACTGGTGGACTTAGCTGAAACTCTGCCTTACCCTGAAATTTCACTATCTATACAGTGATAGTCCAAGCAGTCTTAAAATAGTAGATAACCAGTTAGTATGTTATTGTTTCTATACAAAAATGCGTGTATTCCTGCCACCCAACAGCACTGAAACTTCAAGCTGTTTGTGCAGTAGCCCAGCCACTGTTCTCTTGGCTAACCACTGGTACCCATTGTGGAGAGCACTGGTTCTACACAGGGAGACAGCATGGCATAGACACTCTGCATGTTACTTCTTGAACTGAGCCTGTGCCCATACTTTCCTATACAGCCTGCTTTAATCAGACAGACTTCCTGGACCTGGATGCTATTACATACGCCTTTAAGAAACATCAGTGCATACCCTTTTGTAACTGCTCCTTGGGAGCAAGCTAGTCAAGCATTGGGTTTAAATGCTATATGCTAACAGATGATAACACCACCTACAAAAGGTCAGTCACTATTTTGACCATTACTTTATAGTGCAAAACTAGAAAGACCCAGCCAGAGGCACACCAGAGTTCAGAATTACTAAACAGTTTTCACTTTGATTAGAGGTAGCTAGGTAATAAAAAAAAAAAAGAAAAGTTTGGTTTCTGATTCTACATGAACCATAAAGTTCTTTATGACCAAGAGTCTGATAAACTTATTAATGCTATCTAGTACTCATTTGATATCCTTTCACCTTTTGAGAACCCAAGACAATTCTGGATTGCTTCAATGGCAAGAATAAACTTGCCATTTCAATTTATTCATTTGCTGTACATCACCAAGGTGTCTGTTTATGTCAAACCTGTGGCCCACTCTCTATGCACTTTGTTTACTCTTTATATAAATAAATATACTAAAGACTTTACATGCATATGCCTTTTAATTTTAACTCTTCATTTTCAAAGCATTTCCAACCACTAGCTTACATAGAAAAATAACAGGTTAATAATAACAGGTTAATAATACGTTTCTGAGGGGGGGAGGATTTGCAACAGTCCTTATACTGACACCACTTGATTTGCACATCTCATCTGTCCAGTGATAACGGGGTACATGTGCTATAATTCAAAGCATCTTTAAGTTCTTTCAACCTCTTCCTCCTCTGACTTTGCAGCTCCATTGGAGAATTGACCATCTTCCCTATGTTCTGTTTGCACAAGGTAAAGACTGAGCCAGATGCTGACAAGGCTGAATGCAGCAGCACAATGGGAAAGGGAAGTGTAGGGTGTGGAGAAGTCAATAGTGTGCCTCTTCATCAGTCACTTACAGCTTCTAGAATTAGAATTGTCTTAGTTTAGTTTTTAGCTGTCATTTTTCAATGAAAGCTAGTATGTGCAATAAATTAGACCAAAACTCTTTACAAAGCATACAACATATCAGTTTTATATGTTATAATTAACATGGGATATCTGTATCATAATCAAAAATAAGTGCCCCAAATAAGATGTTTTAGTGATCTGATCCTAAAGACTAGGATCATTGAGATTCCAAAGTCCCATCAGTTATAATCTCATTAACAGTGAACAAACATCTAGATGGCAAAGGTTTCTCATGCACTTAATCTTTAGAACATGGTGAGGTCAGAACTCACATTAATAAAGACACAAATTCTTTCACAAGTAAATTGGATTAAAAGTCAATATTTTTTAACCTAAACGCACTCCCAAAGAATGAGAAACCAGAGAGTGAAGTAGAGCTTACTAGCCCAACATCATTCCAAATATGGTGTGTGTGCAGACCCCTTCACAAAGGGTGGTACTGTCTACCGTGTGGTGGCAATAGGGCATTCAGTGATCAAAATGGTCCTGTTACTGCACCATCACCAGTGTGATATGAAACAAGGCACAGAGACCTTGGCTCCCTGTTGGGTACAAGTCTGTCTCAAAGGTCTTCAGCTAAGATAAAAGGAATAGAGAATTAGTCTGATTAAGCCTGGGGTCAGCAAATCTTTTCCATGAAGGACCAGAGTGTACATTCTAGCCTTTGCAGACTGTATGATCTGCTGAGGGCTACTTATTTTCCATTGTGGCACAAAAGTAACTGCATAACAAGTAAATGAGTGACCCTCACTGTGTTCCATTCAAATCTTGGGGACACTAAAATTTGAGTTTGATATAAGTTTCGTGTCATATAATCCAACCTCTCCCCCCCCCCCAAGCTTTTAAAAACGTGCGCATCATTCATACACAGCTCAAAGACAGTTCATGGACCACATGCGGCCCTAGTATACTTGGCTAACCCTTGTATTAGGTCACCAATGTTACTTTTCCTGGAATACTTTGTGTTTTCCCCAAAAGGTAAAAATAACACTATGGAAGCCAAGCATCTGCAGCAGAGGATTCCTTGGACATCACTCCCACTGTGCCATTGGGTTTGGTGTTGTGTTTCGTGGCTGGTGTGGAGATGATGGATTTTTCAAGAAGAGCATCTATGTAGCATACCTATCACCTTGTGTGGTACTTGCACCCTTACAGTTCTAGCAGAGGTTCTTAGTCAACAAATGAGATTACTTCTAGGGAGAGTAAAGTGAAATGCACATTGGCTTATAAGAAATTCATTCTAAGGCTAAGGAAACAAGACTCAGTTTCCCTTTTTATTGCTTCAAATTTTCATATGTGATGTCAAAATTGTTCCCAGGCCCCAAATAAGGAATGTTGGAATGTTGTTTCTCCAGTGAACTGTGAATTGTCACATGGATTAAGACACATCTAACTAGTGGAAAATGTCCTCACTTGATGCCTTTTCTTATTGCTACTTGGATATTTGGCTATTCTGCCTGCTGCACAACAGTTCCTTCTGGGAAGTTAGAAACCCGTATTGAAAGGATATGGCTAGTGTGGATGAAATTAAGGCAGCGATGGGCAGCAGGCTGCAGAGGACCACAGGACATGGAAGAACACCCAGCTTAGTACACACGCTTCTTTTTTAGGTAGGTTTCCGTGTAACATGCTCCCGTGCCCTGAGGATGCTGGTCAGTGAGCTCCACTGTGCCACCTTCTGGGGCAGAGATGAGATAGGACGAGCCTCGCTTTTCATTTCTCAAAGGGGACACCTAGGAGAAAGTCAAAGCTCAGTGTTAAAATATAAGTAAAACTGGTTGGGTCATTAAAGATGCTTGTATGTCAAGATTCTGGGCTGGATGTGACACACTATAGTAACAGAAGGCCAAGAAAGGCAGGAGGTTCTCTGAGTTCCAGGCCAGCCAGGGCTATATACTGAGACCTTGTCTTAAAAAAAAGAAAAGAAAAGCCTTCTACTTTGAGTTGGTGTGGTTATAGAATACCAAAGCTAGCAAGAAACACAAAAACACCTTTGTTAGAGGAAATTAAAGACTTTGAAGTCTATAGAAATCACCTAGGAGAGCCGGGTGTGTGGTTCAGTGGTAGGGCACTTTCCTAGCATGCGGGAGGCCCTATGTTCCAGGCCGGCTCCACAAAGACTTTGAAGTCTATAGAAATCACCTAGGAGAGCTGGGTGTGTGGTTCAGTGGTAGGGGCACTTTCCTAGCATGCGGGAGGCCCTATGTTCCAGGCCGGCTCCACAAAATCTGCCAGGACTGTTCAGCTTTCGAGCATCACACTACAGATCTCATGTGTAATGTTTTTGAGTCAACAATGATCATTTTTAAAACCTTAGAGTAATAGAGGCTAAGTCTGTTACAACTCTGTGTAGACAAAGCAGTTAACCGTCCATCATCCTGTCAAAAGGCGGATTGTGGGTGGCATAGTGGCACAGTGGGCCTGGGCTCTATCCTGAGCATCACTGTTCTAGTTAGCTTTCTATTGCTGTGATAAAGCACTATGCCTATTACCAACCTTGGGAAGAAAGGGTTTGTTTGGCTTACACTTCCAAGTCATAGTTCATTGAGGGAAACCAAACACGAACTCCAGCAGGAACCTGAAGAGAGACCATGGAGGAATGCTGCTTACTGGCTTGCTCCCCCTAGCTTGTTCAGCTACCTTTTTTATAGTCTAGGTCCACCTAATCAGGAATGGCACCACCACCACCTTCATTGATACAAAGTGTGCTGGACCCTCTGTATCAATGAATAATCAAGAAAGGCCAGTCTGAGGAAGAAATTCCTCAATTGAGGTTCCTTTTTCCCAGGTGACTTTAGTTTGCGTGAAGTTGACGAAAACTAAGCAGCACAGTCAAAAAGCAGTGACAGGAGACTGAAAATCAGAGCTCCATCTGTCAGTACATACTCACACCACCTTGGCTTAAGAGATTGTCCACAAAGTGAAACACTGATTAGCAGTGCAATGTCTGAGGTTTGCATGGAAATCATATGGTGGGTAGGTAGCACAGACAGAGTAAGACTGGTTGTAGGTTGACAGATAGCTGCATTGAGCTGACCTGATGAAGCATGTGACAGACAGCTGCAACTTCTCCTGGCCACTTCCCACTGTCTCAGCATCTCTCTCGTCACACTTGGTCTGATACCCTTGCTTGCAATGGTGGGCCCTAGCCACTAACATGGCACGATACCCCCATCAGGATGCTCTACTGTGCTTTACTCCCTAGACCTCACCTTCCCCAAAGACTCACTGCCCCATCAGTGTGAACATGTCCAATCAAACAATCATACTCAGCAGACTCATCTTCGGCAGGGTCCTCCCCAGGGTGAGGTGAAACCACCCATCACATTTCTACCCAAGAGTCCATGCTGACCTTTGGAACTACAATGCAAGGCTGACACTTCCTGAGCCACGTGGTCATGACTTAAAGAGAGCCCCCCCTCATACTATGGGAAGACCCTCAGGGACTTTCCACCATCCTATGGACCTTCTCTCTTAGCCTTCCTCAAGGAAGCATATGTCTTCACTCTTCTAAGAGTGGTCATCTATTTCACCAAGAAAAGGAGAAATTTGGAGTTAGTGGGTGACTGCTTTTCCCTGGTGATCTCAACCAACCACAAAATTTGTAGCAAACAACATGAATTTGACAGTTCCCAAAGTGTCCCTGGCCATAACCTCTCCCTGCATCCTGGCTTGTGTGAAGGACAGGTGGGAACAGTGTACATCATCTCCAGAGACATCCAAATTGAACCCCAATCCTGCCCCCTAAAACCTCCACTCACATTCTTACCCATCTCCTCCAGTGACAATTCCACTTCCAGACCCCAACCTTGTGCCATCCAGTCTTCTCCTGCCTTTAGCGCATTCTATTTTCTTGATCTTCCAAAACTCTGACCCAATCGCTGTGCCCACAGTCCAGTCAATATCACTTTTACTTGCATTGTACCACAGTTGCATCCTCATCCACCTTATTATGCTCTGCAGAATTGGTTTGGAGTAAAATCCAAAGTACATACAAGGGTATTAAAGGTCCTAAACTGCCAGTCTCGATACATTCCCACTCACTGTGACTTAGTCTCCACTCTCCTTTCCTGAGTACTTTCCTTGTTCCTTTAACATGTCAAGATTGTAAGAATGACTTTCCCCTAGCCTGGTAATCAATATTAATCTTCTATCTTGAAATCTTTTAACACTACCTCAGCTTGTCTGTGATGTAAACAAGATAACTAGGCTTTGGGCTCCTCTTGTAATCTAAGCCTATAACTAATCCCTCATGACCTTTCTTGCCCTTACCCAGAACAATGTATGTGTGGTGTGAGAATATCAAGCACTGCAAGCAGCAAATATTCCTTGAAAGCAATGGATTGTCCCATTTGTGTTGGAAAGAACAGTGCTGACATCTGTTTGTGGTATGTGTGCTGTGCTGGGTCAGTAGGGATCAGAAAGGAAAAATCCCCTGATAAAGTTCCACTTTTTCCTTCCCCATCTCATGCTGGATGTGTGGTTTCAATAAAGTGAGAAGAAATCTGAAGGAACAAGTCCTCAGAACAGATTGGGCCCCATTCTTGATTTTAATGGATGCTCAGAGTCAGGCTGGTTTTGTTCAGGCCTCACCATAATGTGGCATTGCACTGCCACAAAGAATGTTTGCATCAACTGTGTGCACTTGCTGTTCCTCTCCAGAAATGCAAGTCACATAAAGGTCCACATGGCACATTCTCTAAACTTCTCATCTCTGCACAAAGATCCATCACACTGTGAACATTAGCTTTACCATTCATTTAAAAGGCAAAGTCTTGGGGGTGGAAGATGGTTAAGAGTACTTACTGCTCTTCCAGAGGATCAGGTTCAGTTCCCAGCACCCATATGGTGGCTAACTGTCCTTAGCTCCAGTTCTAGGGGATCCAACACCCTCTTGTAACCTTTGTGGGACCAGACATGGACGTTGTACAGTACACGTACATCCATAAAGGTAAAATACTCATAAAAATAAATCTAAAAAACAAAAAAGTAAATTCTGTCTGGCCTCCACCTTGACCTATTTTCTCTGCAGTTATCATTATTTATTTTACTGTTTTTCCTACTGTGATAGTATTGTCAACCTGGTAGAATCTAAATAGCTTGGGAGGTGGGCTCTGGGTGTGCCTGTAGGGCACTGATTACATTAACTTAGGTGAGAAGATCTGCCCACTACGGTTACCTGGCTGGGATCCTGGACTGTATTAAGTGGAGAAAAAGCCGGGCAGCGGGATGCATGCATGGCTCTCCATTCCTGATTATGGATGTGTTGTGACCAGAGGCCTCATGCTCCTGCCACCATGACTTCCCCACAATGATGGACTTTACTTTTTAACTGTATAGTTCAAAATCACCAAAAATGAGCCCAAATCAACCCTTTCTCCCATAAGTTGTTTTTGTCAAGACTATCACAACAGGAAAAAAAAGACACCTACTTTCTCCTAACTTCTCCCTAAATGAACATTACATTATTAGAAGGATTTTTGAAGTAAGTTTTAAGTGAGCATAGAAAGTAGTAGGCTTCACTGTGGGATATTCATACATCTGTCATAGTTTCCTTTTTTAAAGATTTTATATGTATGAACATTTTGCCTGAATGTATGTAAGTATGTGTACAACGTGCATGTCTGGTGCCAGCAGATGCCAGAAGAGGGTGTCAGGTTCATCTGTAACTGGAGTTAAGGTTGTGAGCTGTCATGCAGTTGCTGGGAACTGATCCCACATCCTCTGCAAGAGCAGGCAATGCTCATAACCACTGAGCCATCTGTACAGCTCCATATTTTACTTGTAATCCCAGCACTTGGAAGGCAGAGGCAGGTAGATCTCTTAGTTCCAGGCTGCCCTGGTCTATGTAGTGAGTTCCAGGCCAGCCAGGGTTACATAGTGAGACCCTGTCTCAAAAAAAGAAGAAGAATATAAATAAAGCTGAGGGGCTGGAGAGATAGCTTAGCAGTTAAGAACACTGTTCTTGCAGAAGACATGGGTTCGAATCCCAGCACCCACATGGCAGCTAACAACTGTCCGTAACTCCAGTTCCAGGGGATCCAACAGTCTCTTCTGTCCTCCACGGGCATTAAAGCATTAAAGACGTACACCACCATGCATGGCCTCACCCTCTACTCAGGAGGCAGAGGCAGGCAGATCTGTGTGAGATTAAGGCCAGCCTGATCTACATAGTGAGTTCCAGGCCAGCTGGGGCTACAGGGAGACCCTGTCTCATTAAAAAAAAAAAAAAAAAAAAAAAGAGAGACAGGATAGACAGCACCAGAAGCTAACCTCTGACCTCTACATACATGAAAACACATACTAGCATATGCAAACACATTCACAAGCACATACAAACACACCCACACAAATTTTAAAAATTGAAAATTTTTGAAAAATTGAAAATTAACGCTCTATCACTATGTAAATCTCAGTTTCTTTTGTTCCATCCCATTCATTTCCAAGTGAACATACAGAGAATATGATTCAAGTTTTTGCCTGCCAAAGTTTAATATTTACCATGTTTCTTAAAATTTATGCTCATATCAATAATTAGACCCAGGGCTGGTCTTAAAAGCTCTCATAAAAATTTAGGGAAGCAGGGAATGGAGAGGTGGCTCAGCAGTTAAGAGCACTGACTGCTGTTCCAGAGGACCAAGGTTCAGTTCCTAGCATCCACATGATAGCTAACAAGTGTTAGTGGAGCCAACACCCTCTTCTAACCTCTACAGGCATTGCATGGCACAGGTAC